GAACCGAGGGATAAACCACTATCGTATTACATGTTAGCATCTCATGACTTATAATGTCACTTAATAAATTTTCTGCAGCAGCTGCATGATCATTTCTGCTTCAGTTTGTTCAACAGAAAAATGTTTGAATTGTTCTCTTAAATTCTGTTCCTGTTTTAAGTATTCTTGCCACTTCATTTGTTTGCATACAACATTCTGCTTCAAGTAAAATTATCAAAACACTAACAGCATTATAAATTTGTTAAACTCTTTTGTCCTCACACAGCAGGTCGAGACTTCCTGTAGATGTGAGGGGACATAATACTAGGGCAGGATATGTATTATCTACTTACGTACGACCTAGGGGATACCAGCATGGCCCGGTGTCCATGTCGATGGACGAAAATGTGGTCACGCAGCCTTCGAGAAATTTACTGGTATCCACACTTTCCAACAAAGCATTTTGCGTACTAGCCGTCTTTTTACGTGTGCGGGTTACCTGCCTTTACGATAAACTGTACGCGCTTACAATTGCGCGGAGCACCGCCACACTTACCTCCTAGACGTTGTGGAGCCATCTCGACTAAAATCAAACCCTCTGAATATGAGAAGAGTAGATTTCTGTTAGGAAAAAATAATTTCTGAAAATAAAACTATTCCTGTCCTTTGTACCCTTTCCTTCATAACTATCCATAGGTCCACTTACGGACCCCTAATAAAAGTGCTTCGGAGTTGAACCCTGGTCGGAAAATTTTCCGGTATTTCTGTTTATACAAAACTTTGGCCTATTTAGCTATAATTTGTAATTTTGACCAATGGTGGTAGAGGATAAAATTTGACCTCTTACTTGTCCTAATTTTCCACCCAGTCTCAAATTACTTTCCAAATCAGGGTCCACGAGGTTAACTTACCTTGGCCGTAAAAAAATTATTCCTTTTTTTCTCCTTTGAGCACTGAACTAAGACTGGTTCTGTATGAACTTAGCATTTTGCTCAACTGTGCATTTAATTACGTCTCCACAGAATGTACTTTCCCTCTGTTGCATGTACTTCAAGCCGGTCATTTGGCCTCCTAACTCTACTGTACACCAGTAAGTAGTATGTTCCACACCATACTACTTCAGCTTTTTAACATTTTAACGAAGTGTTGGGAGTTGACTGTTTCATCAATTAGCCGGACCAATGCAGCAGGTGATGGAATTCTCGCGTTTCCTAGCATACCCTTTAAGAGTGGCATTTAGTTCATTCTAAACTGGGAATTTACCAGACTCAGCCTTTGTCTGTATGTAGTTCCATTATTCACGGAAAAAGTGTATTAATACGTTTATTTTTTGTGTAATTGTGCCTTTTGACCAAGTGGACATCTAAGGCTCCAGCCATTGTTATCCCGCCCCTCGGCAGGACCCCTGGGCCATGCCGATATCTTCTGCTGTACCTCTAACGAAATCCTCCGACTTCAGGGAAGGCTCGAGACTTTGTCCACCGATATATAGTGATGAAGTGTTTCGACAGCTCCGAATGTGTCTGCAATTGCTGCATTTCTGAAGCGATAGGAGCACGGTTTGCGATGACCTGAAACAAGCAAATCGCGCCTCGACAAAGTCTTGTTGCACCTCGAGGTCCAGTTACAAGGTGGTATTGCTCATTCCCGCGGTCGCACAAATTATGCTGGTATGGTGGGTAGAAATTACGCAGGTAGAGGTCTCACCAGTTGCTGACTATTATTTCTCAATTTTGCGTTTTATTTTCATTCCTTTTTGTGCAGACATCAAACGCAAAGGCAAAGCAGTGTTTGGATTGACAAATACTACTTAAATGGGATGAATTTTAACCTAACAAGGCTACTGACAGCGATGCACACAAACACAATGGTGGGGGAATCATCAAGGTTGACATTTAACCAGTAATGACAACACCTGTGGTAGATTTGACCTTTGGAGCCAATGGGCACCTCAGGCGTCGACTGATGCGCTCCCTTTGAAGTGGCAACTCAAGCACACGGTGACGCTGTGACGTGCCCTCTACTTGAAGCAGACCACCTAGCCACCCAATTAAAAAACTTATGCATGCAGTGTGTTTAAAAGGGCCTCACCAATCACGAATTTTTTTGGTATTTTGACAAGTCCTCGCATTGTTTTGCTCCATTAACTATAAAACCCACATTTAGGAAGGCGCAAATCAAGATGCGGAGAACTCACGGGGCCCTTCACTGCGGCGTGCCGCTGTCACTTAGCTGGTGGGCCGAAATAAGTTCTGCTTTGTAGTCCAAATAAGGCACCAAAGCATGAACATTTAAGTAGCTACAAGTGGGCAACTTTGTGTCACGAGGACTGCGCTGGTGGCATCGTTTTTACGTGACTGTCATGTAACTGCAGCGATTAAACGCGGCTTAACTCTGTGCCGATTGAGAGGTGCTTTGTTAGTCGTCGCTGTTTAGACCCTAGTCACGCTAGCTGGTTCGTAAATTTGCCGAGCTTTAAGTACGCAGAAGTCCATAAAACTCGGAATTCTGTATGCCAAGAGAAGGAATCGGCAAAATTCTCCAAATAAGTCAAATCAGACTCCAAATTTACGCAGTCCGGGAACTATTTCACTTCCATGGCCTTGTGTGCGATGTCTGTGGGTTTTACTGCCACTTAAAAACGTATTTTCCCTTCAAAAATTATTGTTGAGGGATTATGTTTAAATTTTTCGCAAGTTCTATGGGTAGCGCATTATCCATCATCACAATCCATTGTTTTACAATTTATCCTCTCATCGTATCCATATTGTTCCTCTTACAGTTTCTTAGGTTAAGAGGATTGTCCAGAGAAAGGCATCCTATATTACATAGTATGGAAAGAGCAATCCTAAGCAAGGTTAGTACTAATTAGCGATTTAAGTAGTATATGGACGTCTTAAATGACATTTTAAAGATGAGTCGATATTTAAGTCGCTCTTTTAAGCTCTCCAATTGTCGATATTTGATTTGCATGATCTGAGTGGGAGAGAATAGTATCCCGCCATTTGGATGGACCGCATAAAGCATTAGGGTCGAACTAAGTAGTATATAACGCACCAATAAAAATACAGTCAGCATTCCATTCCATATTATGCTAATCAAGGAGGAATTGACGTAAATAAGTAGTAGAGCTTGGAGGGTTTGTTCCATATACACAGAAATACCTAAGATTGATCAACTCCATTATTCATTTAGGGGGAACAAAACGATTAGGATAATTAAGTAGTAAGTAGAAGGGGAATTAATACATGTCAACCAATACCTAAATAATGTTTACTGATTTGTGTGGCAGCATCACATGCTTCCTAGCCCGGTTAGCCGTCAAAACAGATGTCTCTTGTCCGTAAACAAGGCGTAAATACACTACCAATAACCGAACCCCATTCTGGCCATTTGAATTAGAATGGACCAATCAGAGTATAAGCCGAATGAATTAAGTAGTACATGAGCGCCAAATTTGTACGCTTCTAAGTAATCTGATCAAGCAAATCGCCACGGTCTAGTTAGGTGGTAGAGGGGGTTAGATTTGCCTTCACAGGTGCACCAATCCATTGCACTGCAAGCCTGCCAATGAGGCTGCAAGCAGGGTGACAACTGGGAGGTCATGCGCGCCGCGCACGCGCTGACCGCTCGATACAAGGCCTGCTAGGTTAGGCGATGTTGCCTGCCTGTCAACCTACACGCACGGTAGCTGGCACCCTGTTTACACACTCGTGTGTGGCTGTGTGGACCACCCAACCGCCATTCGGGGTTAACTCCAACCCCCGCGCGCGCACAAGTGTCAAGGCCAGAGGGGAGGTGGTAAATGGGATATCGACGAAAGAGGCGGCTTGTTTGCCGCCCTGTTAAACACTTTAAGTGGGCTTTAGCAGACAGTCCAGGGGAGTGGGATAGGCATTTAAGGCAGAATCGTGGCCGGTGAAGTGGGCGGTCAGTGGGATGTGGGAGCGGTACCCAAACGCGCCTTTGTGGTACCTCAAGGCAGACATCAGACCTAAACTGCCTTATCTGCTATTGGCAGACGAACTCGCTTTCTGAGATCGCCCCATCCCCGGTGGGATAAATTTACTAGAACAGCGTTAAAATTGGAGCGCGAGAGTTTCAATTTCCTAATCCCTCTTGGTATTGCCCGGAGGAAGTCGCGATTTCGCGTGGCTATGGGTAGTTGGAACCGGAGGGGCTGCACCTGCGCTCCGCGGTGTGGACTTCCCTAGTCATACCAGTAACCTTTTGGCCCATCTCGTCAATAGTAGGTAGTAGTTTTCCCCCGGTGATAACAACGATGTCACGAAGTCGAAATGAAGGTCAAAGGTCACGTCAGCCTAGAACCTGACGGTCCCCAGGCTACCGAACCCGATAGCCCTGGCAGTGGCACGCCAACTCGACCCAAGCGCGGCTTGAGACTGGAAAACGCAATCACCCGAAGACCCAAAACTTCTCGGGGGTATTCCGCTGTTTCACAGTGCGCACCACCGCCGCGCAGAGCCTCCGGCGCCGTGCCCAAACAGGGACACCAACGCGGCTCGCACGGCCCCACCAACAGACCGCGAAACCCGACACCGCCACCTCCCCACAAGGCCTGCGGCTGACTCAGCCGGAGAAAACGTCTCCGTCCCCCACCCCCCGAGTGTCCTCGAGCAGACCGCCGCGGTGACTCACTACCACCGAGCAGGCAACCCAACAGCCAAGAGCCCAAGTGCATCCCCCAGACCAGGCCAGCTACCAACACGAAGACACCGAGCAAGTAACGACAGGGGGCAGTTGTATTAGCAATTGTTATCAGCGCGATTTATGATAAAAAAGTACCAAAACTGGGGAGATTTAGTACTCCTCGCCATCCTCAGCCGCCTCATCCATACTGTCGACACCGACTTCTTCATAATCCTTCTCCAAGGCGGCAAGGTCCTCGCGAGCCTCCGAAAACTCGCCCTCCTCCATGCCCTCGCCGACGTACCAGTGCACGAATGCGCGCTTTGCGTACATCAGATCGAACTTGTGGTCAAGACGAGCCCAAGCCTCGGCAATGGCCGTGGTGTTGCTCAGCATGCAGACTGCACGTTGAACCTTGGCCAAATCACCACCAGGAACAACAGTGGGTGGCTGATAATTGATGCCAACCTTGAAGCCGGTGGGGCACCAGTCAACAAACTGGATGTTGCGCCGAGTCTTGATCGCCGCGATAGCGGCATTGACGTCCTTAGGCACGACATCACCCCTATACAACAGACAGCAGGCCATGTACTTGCCGTGACGAGGGTCACACTTCACCATCTGGTTATTTGGCTCGAAACAGGAATTCGTGATCTCCGCGACCGTAAGCTGCTCATGATAGGCCTTCTCAGCAGAAATGACCGGAGCGTAGGTAGCCAACGGGAAGTGGATACGCGGGTAGGGGACTAAGTTTGTCTGGAATTCGGTCAAATCGACGTTCAATGCGCCGTCAAAGCGAAGCGAGGCGGTAATTGAGCTCACAATCTGACTAATCAGACGGTTCAAATTAGTGTAGGTTGGCCTCTCGATATCCAAGTTCCTCCTAAAAAGAGCAGTTTAGGAGACGAGTCTGACCACTTTCTCACCTGCATATATCGTAAATAGCCTCGTTATCAACCATGAAGGCACAATCGGAGTGCTCCAGAGTTGTGTGAGTTGTAAGAATAGAGTTGTACGGCTCAACCACGGCAGTGGAAACTTGAGGAGCGGGGTATATCGAGAACTCAAGCTTAGCCTTTTTACCATAATCAACACTCAATCTCTCCATAAGAAGAGAGGTGAAGCCGGAGCCAGTGCCACCGCCGAAAGAGTGGAAGAGCAGGAAACCTTGGAGCCCAGTGCATTGGTCGGTAAGCTTGCGAATGCGATCCAACACCTGATCAATCAATTCCTTGCCGATAGTGTAGTGACCACGGGCATAGTTATTGGCAGCGTCCTCCTTTCCAGTTATCAACTGCTCGGGGTGGAAGAGCTGACGGTAGGTTCCAGTTCGCACTTCGTCAACAACAGTAGGCTCTAGATCGACAAAGATAGCACGAGGCACATGCTTCCCAGCTCCGGTTTCACTAAAGAAGGTGTTAAAGGAGTCATCACCACCGCCGATAGTCTTATCGCTTGGCATTTGCCCATTGGGCTGGATTCCGTGCTCCAGACAGTAGAGTTCCCAGCAGGCGTTACCCATCTGGACACCAGCTTGACCAACATGGATGCTAATACATTCACGCTAAAAAAAGTTGCAGATCAGAGAGAGCGAAAACCCACCATTTTCGAGAACGCGGCAAACGGCAGGCTCACGAACAACGAATGAAGAAACCCGGAAGCGCGGACATATTTATAGGCTAACGGTAGTATCCATCACTGATTGGTGGAACGACACATGTATCAGGGCAATTCAACCAATGAGAAAACAAGCATTTTAAAAGTTGAGCTACCGCTATAAATTATTTGGAACAATAGTAACAAATCAGTGAATTAGTGAAATAAATTTCTCCAAATCTTATGACTTTAAGGTTTAAAGCGAATTTTTTATCAAATTAGTGCAAAGTAAATTAGATACATGCCAAATTATTAGTATGTGATATGGACATATTCCCTATTTATTCATTGATTTATAACTATTCCACATGTGAGAAATAAACCGATATCATTTGTTCCCAAGCCATAAATTAATACTTACATCTCTTTTTACTACGCGAATTTCACAACTAGCCCTATGATTTTTTCATGAGAACCTTAACCCAAACGCTAAAATTATTTCCTGACGGGGCTACAAACATCGAGCGGTAAATACCGGCAGTGCATCGAGGCCTACGCAAGCGCCACCACCACTGGACTGCCTCACCGGACGGGGCCAACGCAACCACCCTACCCCCGGGTCCAGCGTATGGACCACCTGCCACCACACACGAATAGATCAAGAAAGAGGTCTACTTGACTTAGTACAACGGAGGGGAATGCGAAGAGAGGGAGATCAAAAGAAGGGAAGGAAAAAAAGCCGTCAATATTATGCATGGTTGTGGTGAAGGTAGCTGGTGGCGGACGAAACCAGATTAGGTTTGAACAGGTCAGAAGAGAATCTGATCCGCATCGTCATCCACGAGGAGGTTTCGCACCATATTCTGATTCTCCACTGCTTCCGGATCGATGTGAGCAAGGCGCAATTCTTCATCGTGCTGGGCCTTTAGGCGCTTCTTCCGGTCTTGCACTTTCTTCAGTCTGGACGGAGGAATAAGGCCAAGTCAGATACAATCAAAAACCATTGAGAACAAGGCTTGTGAAATAAAAAAGTAAACAAAAAGAGCGATTTCAGATGGAAGAATGCGTAGGTCCAAAATGGGCAGATCGCCAATAAATCGTCCCATGAATGGGTGAATTAATAAAGGGATGAGTGCCAGATAGTGGAAGTGTTTCGCTGATAAAGACATGGCTGATTTGTGTCCAAAGTTCCGTTCTGGTGTACAAGTAGTACTACAGACCAATTAAATGACACTACGTACGAATTAGGAGCAACAAGATCTGATGTAGTCGAGCGTTAAATGCAACTGACCTGTAGAACTCCTCCCTCTCCCGTTCGTCCAACTCCTGAATGATGTGAGCGATTGTCCGCTCAAGCCGCGGAATTATCACTGGACCGACAAATGGAAATGCACAAGTTAGCAATCCCGAGTGAAAGTGGTAAAGCCGCCTATACTTCCGGCCGAGACTCACCATGCTCAATGGCATTGACGCGGCGATTGGTGACCTTGATGACTTTGTCAAGAGTGACGAAGGAGGTCTGTAGGGAGGCCAGATTGACTAGCAGTTTCACCGCCTTGGCATAGGCCTTCTTCAACTTGTCTATCTGCTGACCACCGCCAGACAAACCCGTCAGCTCGTAGGCTACAGTGCAGAGGAAAAGAAGGTCGCAAGTAATATCCCGAAGACTTCTCCCATCACCTATCAAACGCGGCGACTCAAACAGAAAAAAATACGGCGTCGAGGTAACAAAGACAATATTAGCCTCCTGCTCTGGAATTGGGATCGTACAAGGGGATACTGTAATAGCAGGTCAAGAAACCAGTGAATACGGTACCAAACGAGCCTCGGGCAAACCCTGAAACTAGGCTACGAAAGGGGTTGAAGTCAAAGGGGGATTTCCAGGCCGAGGGTGAAACTGTTGTGCTTACCGTTGCCGCAGGTCGAATAGCCTCTTGGATGATTGCAGGACAGACTGCGTGTCGATCGGATGGGGGTGGTTACCGACACACAGAGAAGTGGGGCTGACAACTTGTGACTGGTTTACACTACTTTTGTGGATCCCATCATCGCATTGTGCACGCTTAGGCCTCCTTACGGGTGTGTATCCTCAGGTTCTACGCCACTGGTCACAAAAAAATTCACCGCCACGCGAATTTCTAACAGTAATGGAGACCGATTTTTGCGCCACTTTGTCCCCTTTTCCGTCCAATTCTTGCAATGTTGTACAAACTATTGTTCCCTTCATGAAGTCGTTATTACTTCCATTGTAGGCCATAGAACACCCGCTTTCCTATAAGATTGGCTCTTTACCTGGCTAATCGTAGAAAGCGGAATAAAGCAAGTTCTCGGCTTAACTGGTTAACTGTCCGATTCCGCTCCCCCACCCCTTACATCTATGCCAGTAGGGCTTAAAATGCTCCCTCAATAGGACGACGTATGCCCGCACTGCCACCGCAGCATACCATCCCGACTGAATGCGCCTGGACTGGCCCACGGAATTCATGATATACCTGCTCTCGAATATTGCATATGGTACATATGGAACCCAAAGTCCCGGTTTGACTTGGACTCCCAATAAAATGAACTTAGTTGAATTGAGAGTGGCCTGAAAGATTACTACAATTGACTCAAAAACACCTTTTTTTTTAAACAAAAGAACTGACAAGAGAAAGGGAAAAGGGGGCATTATAGCAACGTCCCGGTGACTAGTAGTTTTACGCAGTCACCGTAATAGTAAAGAAAGGGGCGAGCCCAGAATGGACCGGATCAGAGCAACTTCTAAGCCTTCAAAAATCACCGGATGCGAGTACATCTGGTGCATCTGAGGCTATCCATCCGGGCAGAGAACTGAACGCTAGTGAAACAACGGAAGAACCAATAGGAGTACACTAAATAACTCCAAATCTAAATTGCTCAAGGGAAGGTTGTGGTGGCAGAATTGAAAAAAAGAAAGACAGTCATTAGGATAACTTGCAAAACGAGCAAGAGCTAATTCGAACGCTAAATTCGAAGTTTGTGAAAAAGCTATGAGAGGTTGTACACATTAGAGAGGGAACAGTTGGGAAACTACGGAGGTTAGAATGCAGCCATGGGATAGAATACAAAGTGAAAAATCCAGGTAGAGGGCTGAGATGCATAACGGAGGGACAGGATCAGACCGAAGATAAATAGAAGTTTTTCTGTGTTACTCAATTCAATCAGCTTATGAAACGAGTAGTGTGGTGTAAGCAACACCAACAAGAGCCCACACGAGACTCACAGAGATGAATCTAACCTTCGTAATGATAATGCTTTTAAACATTATTGTCTCTTGCATATTTTTAGTGGAGATAGATCCTGTTAAGTATGGAAAAATGGCTTCACATTTTATGTATAGTTAGTAACCGCAGAAGAGGTGGGATGGGAAAACATAGCACACCCTCCAGTTAGAAAACCGCAAAGATAAAATCAGAGAAATTGAAGAATTACTACATCATGAACTGTGCCTTGATAAAATATGAATAGTTCTGAATAAGAAATTTATTAGGTTAAACCAAGGTGACAACCTAAAGACCTGGCTGAAATGTGCCTAAGACCTAATTAAAGATAAATACTCGGTATTACGTTAAACAACAGACAACACAAGAAGTTTTAAATGGAGAAATCAGTCTATTTTCCTCTGCATAAAAGGATGTCATTATCATAGAAAGTGATGCAGCGAGACCCGAAAAATTGGTCTTGTAGGGCATGAGGTATTTAGAAGACACGAAGGAAATGTTGACGGGGAAGCACATACGAAACTTCGGGCGAAAGGCATATAAGAGAGGTTAAAATTCAAAAAAGTAGAAGTCAAGGCTTTAAAAGACCTGAAATACGCAACAAAGATTATGAATGAAAAAAAAACAACTAAACACTAAGACATCGAAAAATGAGGAAAAACCAGAGGAGGGATGGCAATGTGCGACCAAGCAAGAATTGGAGGTAAAAGCAAGAACTCAGCAGAACACTCACTGTCAGCTCCCTCAGAATAGACTTCGAATTGAGGCAAATTGACACCAGCAACGTTATCTTTGCTCAACTTCACTTTTACTTGTGCCTTCGTAACATTGTGCATCACCAAGTGGTTCACATTAGCTGCGGAAGAAAATTTGACAGCGGCAAGGGAGAAATTTGCCTCCCTAATCACTTCACCCATTGATTGCTTTGCCTACGAAGGAGAACACAAGAGAAGCGGGAGACTTTATATCAAGGGTGATTCGCGAGGACAAAATGTAACGCCAATTACTTCTATGATTTTTGATAAAATACTACGAAAGCGAATCGTTAAGGCGTCAGACTTTTTCTTCAGAAGACTGTGACCAAGTTGAGCGCCTTGTAACTGAGCCTTCATTGTGGCTTGCGCCCTGAAGAGATATGAAAATTCAAGTTAGACCGCAGAGTTTACAGAAGGCAGCATCTAGGGCCACCGAAAATAGACAAATTGAAAGTGCCGATTAGGCGGTTAATTGAACTAACATTCGAGATGGGAAAACATTTATTACATCACCGGACATTCTAAATGCAAATCGACAATGCGGGACAAGGTTTGAAGCGCGCGAACTCTTGTGAACAGTATAAACAACTTTATCTCGAAAAAGTCACCTTTCCAAAATCCACTTTGCTGCTTTATATAAGTTTAGCTCTTGAGTCCACAAATATAAGTTTGGGGCTCAATGTTTAGTTGCAGGTCAAGGCTATTCAATATAATTGCATAAATCCATATTTCAAAAGAACTTGGTTATTTACCTCCACAATTACGCCAACCCCCGTCTTTTTCCTGGCTGTACTGTTTATTTAATAAAAGGCCTAATAATGGCTTGCCGAATCAGTGCCGATATAACCTTACGACAGCTACAACCCACGGCGGTCAAAACCGGGAGCGCTTGCGACCAACATCTCGACCAACGTCATCACCACCAACAACCCTGTGGACCCCAATGAGTAGAATCACAGCACGCCACACCCACCCCAACCCGATGATGCACCTCGCCACAACCTAACCCCAAGCCCAATCTACTTCCTCGGCTATCCGGAAGGCCCAACCACTAAACCCCAAAAAACACCAGATCTTGTTCTGCATATCTATTCTTCCTTAAATAGGCGACAGATGCTCAAAATTAAACCCAATGGTTTTTTTCCCATGAGATGCACATTTGACAAACCCTAGCGAAAATCACCCCCCTGCTGATAATCAATATCAGTAGCCATATCCAAACTCTATGAATCCGCCTCCAATTGCCCCTCCTTTAGCCACTCATTCTCCGGCAGGGGACTCCAATTCGGTGACTGAGACGCCTTCGTCGTTACCAGCGTAGGACAGCTGAAGTCCTGCACCTCCTTCCAGTGGTTGACTGTTCCCAGTACCTCAGATGTGCTTCTTCCACCATTCCACGGTCCCACTAAAAGGTCCGTAGAATCTTCGATTATCGGCGCAGAGGCGGTAAAAACGTCGAATCGCGTTCCGCGTGTTCGATGCACCCGTAACTGCCGACAGGCTAGAACGAAGCGACAATTCACACAATCCTGCAGCATCACGGAGGTCGCAACGGGTTGGAGGGTGTAGACAGTGCAGCCGGTGAGGCGAGAGGCCACCAAGTTACCGCAGACCGAAGTAACGCGCACCTCACAATCAACGAGATCGGTGAGACAGAGGGATTGGTCACGAAGGCTCGCACTTTCCCCGTCATCGTCGTCTGCGGACGAGGGGAGGCGGAGGTCGTGGCGGTGGGAGAGGTGCGAAAGGGTGAATTTGGCAGGAGCAAGGAGGGAGGAGAAAGTGGGCGTCTGTTTGGCTGGTGAGGTAGAGGTAGTTACTGCTGGCGTTTTTTTGGTGGAAGCCTTAGCTCCGCCGCCTGCACCACCTCCAGCGCCGAATTTAAACTTCTTCTTGGGCAACACAGAGGCGCGAACGTCGTGAAAGCGCGACTTGATTTCCTGTAATAAAGAAGCGGGTGAAAAGTGGCTTGCAACAGCAAGTTTTTCTGTGGAACGCCACATCCCATCTTGCGCGATTCCCCAGTACCACGAGGAGGTGATGAACTTCAATCTCCTCCCCGCCTACCCCAAAGTATGAGTCTTCTGATGTGTCAGCCCTGAGAGGTGCGGTGTCTTGCGTTGCCATCCTAGAACAGAACGTGCTTTCCACTGATTGGCTAGTCGAAAGTACATATTCCTCTTCCACAAATGCTTCATCCTAGGCACGTCGACGATTCCAACTACAGGGGTGCCTTTAAACTGCCGAGTGAGCGGTGGGCCGTTCGGAAATGAGCCAAGGATGTGTTCGGTTGCTGAAGGAAAATCTACCTACAAGGGTCATCTTTTGGCACAGGTCTACCACTTAGTGGACAATCTGACAACGGCGTGGAAGAAATGAAAAGCAAGTCGTTTGTCTGCATGCAAGCAGCATCCATTTGTTCGGCTTCTACCATGACTTTCACAGTTGATGTTGGGGTAAACAAATCCTTACCTCATTCACATTAAAAGTCCCAAAAAGCCCAAGCAATAACACCAAGTAATTCTATATGAACGAGGATGGAGGATCCGTCTGAAAGTGATGCATTCATTCCCGAATGCTGCACTAATAGGATAAGACTACCTAAAAACCATTTTTAAATGGTACCTCTGCTATCGCACCTCCTTACATCGGGGAAAAGCCCAATAGCACAAACCATGATTTAATTATTTTGTAGAGTGGAAAAGAACCAACAGTTACATCTACAAATCCGAGGGATTTCACACTAGTTTTGGATCAAGAATGTCTACTTATGAATGCAATATGATGAGAGATAGAATTTCGGGGTAAGGGGGGAGGCTATCTCTAAAATGGGAAAATCAGCCAACTCACATCAACGTCTTGACGCGCCTGTTCTACATGGAAGGATTTAAGGTAGGGAGAGCATTCGGTGAACCAGCGCTGAAGCTCCTCGATTTGATCCAACAGGTCGTCAAGCGACTAGAAGCAAAAAGAACGAAACTGGAAAGGCAGCTTTGATTACCTTGATTTAATGATAGGCTTAAGTTGAGAGCCTGCTGGCCGTGGGTTAAACCAGGTAAGGGCATGAAGAAATAAGGTGAATGAATGAGACACTGCACACCTCAGAAATAAAAGATTTTTACAACTTATATGGAAGCTGCCAGTAAATGCGCTCAGCTCCAGCCAGCTTTCTCGTCTGTAGGAATTAAAACCTTAAAAATCTTGTAATGTTTTATTTGTTGAAGCATTACCAAAGCGCGAATCCACTTATGTGTCAGTTTTGCGACGCGCAGTCAGAGGTCTTGCATTGTCAAGCAAGAACGGCACCTGCTTCTCACTACTGATTGGCTAGTGCTGGCTCCTTCTGAAGAAGCCATTCTCGTGCATCTCCAAGTTGTAACAAATAGAGGCACATCTCAGTCATAACTGTCCAGCCTTCAGAAAGCACACAATTTCCTCAGCAGTCATCACAAAGAAACAATGGAAACTACTTTTAGCACAAAACACAAAAGCCAGTGCATGCTCCTGTTAGACTCGAGGGAACTCCTAGCCAATATCAGATAGCCGATTTTCCACCAATTCTATTGATGAAACGAAATAAAAACCACGAAAGATGACGAGTTGTTTTATTGCAATTTCCATTAGTTCACCAACTATGGACACTTTGATTGAATGGAAAAATATCGGCAATCCACCAATGAAAGCTTTATAACAAACCAATTTTAGTTCCGAGGCGATTGTTCTAGCAATATTAGCGTCCACATGAGCCGTGCCAACCTGACGCCTTTGATAAATACGGCGGTTGAATTAGAGCAACTATATTTTTTGACTTAATGAAGTAACACGATTAGAAGAAAACTAAACCCGTAAAATTAAACATTTGCTGTTTAAGCGACCCTGATTCCTTCTTGTCATAGTATTAAAGACGAAGGCCTATTAAAAAATGTGGGCACTTGAGTGGCGTAGGCGCGAATATACGCTGTTTTTACCAAATCTAATCAAAACAAAGGCGAGTAAACAGGGAACTAAAATTGACCCACTTGAGGCAGAGTTTTAATCTATAAGCTACCTTAGATTAAGGGAGAATAAACCCACATTCAATTATGAGAAGTAGGAAGAATGTTTGCAAAAGAACACTTCCGTGACGCAGACAACTGTTTAGAACGGGGTAACTAGGTCATAACAGGATGACTAACCTGAATAAAAAGGAACTAAAATGGGACCTATCAGAAAGCAAAGCCCAGAAGTACACATTTGAAGGACGTAAATACAAATAAATCGGAGTATTAGATTGAATTTGGCTAATACATTGATGTAAAGGCGGGAAAAGTGCCTACCTTGATTCGTTCATCAGGTTCGGGAGCACCATCGGTGAGTGCACACCTCTCCCTTAACCGCTCAATGCGTCCCAGAAGGAGATTCTTAGCACGAGCCATATGCTCGAGGAAGAAGGTAGGTGTGTTGTGCATCGGCGAGATGAAAATTGATGCGACTTCTCCTCCAGCTACGTCTGACGGGTCCATCGAAAGGCTGAGCGACGGGAGGAGAACATCCCCGCCTACCGCTTCACGTCGATGCCGCGCCCCAGTCGTCGTTGTCTCTGCCGCCTTACGCCGGGCCTCGCGCGCTGCGAGGCGCTCCAACAGCTGTGCCGGCATTCCTCCGCCACAACCTCCGAGGTCTGCCATCTACGGGAGCAAGAAAGCCCCGATAGCACACATACTAAAACTCTCACACACGCAGGGAGAAGACGGAGAGAATAAAAATTGGCGTTTTTCTTATTACAAAGGACAATGATGAGGGAGAGGAGGGAATAATAGGTGAGTGGAGATCACTCCAGGGAAACTATCCGGCGGTCCGGTTCCTCATCCATCAGCACGGGCTCATCCTCAAGATCTTCAAAGTCCGCAGTCGTGGGAGGGGCGGCGGTCTTCTTGATGATATGGACGTAGCGCTGAGGCGAAGCCTGGTCACCACCAGGAGCAGGAACAGGAAGAGGAGGCGGAGGCACCGTCTCCGATTCCACCGCTATGCCAAGGCGTCGACGTCTTGCGGCCGCCAGTTCCGCGTACTCCTCCTCCATGAAACGTCGACGTTCCTCAATTCGCTCTAGAAGACCAGATCAACCGAAGGAAAACCTGTAAACTTACCCATGATTTTGGCTTTGGTAGCATTTTTGCGGGTTTCACTCTCGGGATTGTCACCCTTGGGGCGATAGAAAATTGGCGGGTTGTTCTCGGTGCGGATGAAATCAACCATTTTGATTTGCTCCTCCTTCCAATCTTCAAACTAGACAAGGTAACGCGAAAATCAACAACCTACCTCGTGCATCATGCGCATTTTCTGCTGAAGAAGACCCAGCTCAACCTGCTGTTGTTTACGCTGGCGAAAGAGATCAGCGCGCTCTTGACGAGCTGCTGCTTTCTCTTCGGCCGCCTTAGCATCGATACGAGACTCGATTTCCTGACGACGCTGCCGCTTTCGTGCCTCTTCACTATTATTGCCACCGCCACTGGATTCAGCCTTGAATTGCGTCAAGGTTGCCTGCAACACGCCGAACATTCGACGGCCTCTGGGGAAAAGGTAGACATAAATTTACGTCAGAATCAAGATAAGGGGGAAAATCAAGCATACCTTCCTTTATCCATAGTGTTGTATTCCTTAATAGCATCTAAACGAGACCTCTTTTCTCCAACCCGAACAACAGATGAGGGAAGTGAAACCTAAAAATGCAGTCATTTTTAAAAGAATAGGTGACTCAAATAATTAGACACCCAATGCCTTCGAAAATTTGCAGTCAGTTATTAGAGAGGGGTAAAAAGTAAACGGCACAAAAATTGATCAAAATTAGCAAATTGTTTAGTGATCAAGCAAAGTACGAACATGCAAATCAGTCTCGGGCTTATCCAGCTGAGAAAATTTGGATTCCCTAAAGTTGCCTAAATTTGGATTAAGACGGGAGAAGACAGAAGGTGGAGCACCGTTTGCAACGAAGCGCCGTGGAGGTCCACTTGACAAATCAGGATTATTGCGTCTGCATAAGGGAAATAGAATATGAAAAAAAAAAATCGGATAAGCATAGCAACAAATAAGAACAAACCTTCCATTGTCAGGCGATCGACCTGTGATTCTTTTGATAGAATCGTCTGTTGTTTGCAATAAGCCCTTTTGCAATTCAATGCTTTTCTGAACGGACTCAATCGACTCAAACTTGGCCATCACGAAGTCACCGCATGGGCGCGCACTCTCGACACCTATTGGCTAGCACAAATTTTGCACATCTCAGCATTAACCACTGCGGAACTTAAAACAATTAGATTATTTAAAGCCAAAAAATTGCGTTAAAAAATTTGAAAAACAATTTATAAAATTTCGTTAAGTGCTTCAGTCATGAGTGCATGATTTTTTATCGCATAATGTAGGGAATGAGCTTCCTCTATGAATTAATTAATTGCCAGTAAGAAATACCCGCCTTATACTGATTGCACATATTTATACATGTATTAATATAAACGTACACAAAAAATACGTGCATACACACATTGTACATGCGTAATGAGATTTATTTCACATGTCCGCCAATTCAAAAACCCCAGTAACAGCTGCACTCTTATTTATTTTATATAAAGTCGTGTCTCCTCCGAAGCCGGAGCAGCTAATGGTATCATGGCATTCCTCAACTTTACTCAAGACGAAAGAATTCACGATATTTGGGCAAAAAATATATTCGACATACAGAGGTAACTGTAGCTACTGGCATGGTCTGAATGCCAGTCCTCCCTGCGAAGCCACAAAATCCGAGACACATAGCGGCCTCCCTGCTAAAGCGTAAAGAGGAAGTACAGATGATCTGAGGCTATCGACGTTGCACAGAACCATACTACCAGGCGGAAACGCAGTCTGAAGAAAGTTTAGGCAGAGATAAACAAGTCCCCAAAACATTGCGATTGCATGCGCTGGATCAAAATCATCTACCTTTAAACAAGAGGTATGCTTGTTATTAGGTCCTGACATCATACGTGAAAGATAATAATTATCGCTAGAGATAACTACTGAATTACTAGTTAAAATGATCAAATTCGAGGCGAAGCAGCAAATCAGCTAAACTTCTTAAATTATAATAGCATTGTATATTAATAATCTAGGTGTCAGCGCAGTTACGTTCAGCATTCGCAAGACGACTTCGTGATAATGGATCCTAAGGTTTCTATTATGACAGTCTCACTGTCTACGAGTTTACTTCATTTTTCCTATTTTTAATACTAAGGGATACTTCCACTTCCAGAAATTTTATCATAAAAAGTGCCTTTGCATGGATAAACGTTAATAATTTTTATTATCTAGTACCACGAAAAGTCAGTAGCTCAACTACAGTACCGTCAAGCCCGTCGCCACTTGGACTTCAACCTAAATTGGTGGCAAGTTTTTGATTTTGACGAGCTTTCACACAAACGGAGAAAAAGCCGCTATCATTCAAATAAGTAAAAAAATCAGCAACTTAGTGGATATTTTATGCTCTGTCCAAACCATTTTCTAATTTTCAAACCTTCCTGCACTCCTGGTTCCTCTAGCTGATCCGCATGCCACGGTCTGTCCTACCCTGGGGACGCGGAATATGAACAATATACCTGACCACTATCCTTCAAATGAAGGACCCTCGACAAAACATGATTTACCACTGAATGGTTTGAATGTCACTGCGGACGGTGGATACGTGTGGATGGTGGTCCTAGCCTCGTTCTTCATTTACTCTCTCATTAATGGATTGGCCTGCACCTTTGGCATCAACACCACCGATGTCGTTGAGCACTACGACATCTCCGGACAAAGCGTTGGATGGGTAAAATCTGTACTACTTGGACTCACCTTTATCCACGGTCTGTCTGTTCATTTAATCCCCTCTCCCTCCTGATTCACCATGCATCCAACCACCACCACTGGGTGCATCATCTGTTGAAGCCATCCTTGCTAAACATTCCAACAATGTTGAATAACTCAAACTCTCTAAAGTAACATTAGCCTGAGAATATGACCTTTGCTGATTGTTATGACCAGCTGAAATCATTTGAACAGAGTAAAATACCGAGAATAATCCACGTTTAACCATGTCCCATGTATTGACAAACACCGCGTCTACTTAATTGTTCAAAGTAGCGCTCCAGTTATTACAAGCAATAAAGTGCTAAATAAATTTATTATGTCCATATTTACCTCAGAACTACTAGACAGTCTTAACTTTTATTTATACCTGTCAATGCAAACTGATAAACGCGTATGATGTGATTAGACCTCCAGCCGATGGCATTCTAAGTCCCCATGTAGGCAAGATGTGTGAGCACCGCAGCTACCGTCTCACCACAATCACCGGCAGCAGCATCGCAGCCATTGAACTTTCCTCATTTTACTTCTGCTTAACATAGCCCTTCTTTGCTTTCATGGCGTTTGGCGTTTTTGGTGCGTTTTCATTGTCGAATAGAATGCTGCACTAAAAGTCCTACTGCCATTGGTCACTTACGAGTGACCTTAAACTATCGTGGTGCTTCCTAAGGCCTCGGATGTGGACTGGCCTATCTGCCAACGATATGCATTGTGATGGAATTCTCCAGGGCAAAACAAGCCCTAACACTTGGCTTTGCTGTTTATGATTTAGGAAGTGGCGAGTGAAAGCGGTCACAGGGTTACTACAACAACTTCGCATAGACAATGAGTCCTCATGACCCTACTCTTCCCTTCCCCATAGGAACACTTTTATTTGCACTCCTACTGAGTCACCTCACCGGCGTCTGCTCTTGGCGTGGAGTTATGCTCCTCGAGGGGGGGAAGGTTATCCTAAACGGTTGTGTGTCGCGCTGCCTTCTGACCCGTAAAAAGGTCGCCGGTACCAATTAACTTGCCTACCACCATCCACAAATCACTTGATTCGCCTCCCAAACACCTGCCACAGGATTGGGAGGGTGAACCCTCCAGTGTGTCCTACACGCTTTCTTCACATACCGTCAGCCTGATGTCAGGGAAGAGGATGACAAAGTCAACCAAGCCCTCCTTCCCCTTGCATGAGTGGCGGGCACTTGTCAACCCATTTAGTCTCTACCTCCTGATAGATACAAACTTCCTCATTTTCTCAACAAATTTTCTTACGAGTTTGGGATTCAACGCGGCACTTCTCTTTGTCACCGATAGAACAATTCAGGTGGGAGTTGAGGAGAGCCGCACAAACTTTCCAGTAGCTGCTATTCGGATTGGCAACACCATGGGACGAGTAGCTTTCGGCGCCCTGCCAATGACCAGACGAATACGCACTAGGCTGCACCTCTACAATGGATCCCTTGTGACATGTGGACTCATTACAGTTATCAGTTGCTGAGCTGTGGAATATGCGCTCAAGGCCGTCAATTGCCTGGCGTTTGGATTCTTCAGCGGTGAGTTGGTTGCCTTGTACGGAAGGATGGCCTTTGTATTTGCATTGGTCTTTTCACAGGCTTCTACGTAATCCTCCTTTCGATGCTTCTGGTGGTCTTCTTGGTGCCGAATTTCTCAAGGTTTCTTTCAGCCTGAGTCTCCTCACAATGGGTGTTGCAGTTATTGTAGAACCTCCAACAGCAGGTACGTACTTTAATATCAAAAGTAGTGCTTACTTAGAGCAAATAAATGGAGACGACACAGTGGATTCCAAAAACTTTAGGGGAATATTCAACTAGTAAAACTCAGTAACTCATTTTAAGATGGATTGCTCACAGCAAAAGGAGTAAAAAACCACAAAGTATAAAATAGCGTTAACTCTTGTTGGAACTAGGTTGGTTCTATGGCAGCACAATGTACTACGACATCTCGTTCGCCGTTTGTGGTGGAGCAATTCTGCTCAATGGTATCATCATGTACCCTCTAACGTGTGGAATATGGAAACTACCAGCAATACTTTGTTAAGATTATTTCACTTTTAAAGTTCTTTTAAAAAACTGGTTTTCGTCAAAAATAAAGAGTTACTTCTGGTTACTGGAAAATCTGTTTAACAAATGGGGTGCTGTAGCCGACGATTCCTCCGGTTTCAGGACCAGCTCAATTTTCAGCCAAAACTATAGAATCAAAAAAAATAACTAAAGAAAACTACTTTAGACTTGTCTGTCACTTCTACCCTTCCGCTTTGAAAACTAATCTAAGAAATGAGCATGAGCTCGACATTATTTCCAAGGCAAAACCCACGGAGCACATCACACGTGACATTCATCAGGCAATTTATCAGCATCCCATTAGGATTTTTTATTCCAACATCAGTCTTAGTACGTATTACTGAAAACAGCAAAATTGGACGAGTTTCAATGAAGGAAGGAATTGTCTGTGAGGCAGGGGTAAGAAGTCCCAAGTAAAACTTCATAAGTTGCAGAAATTGAGAACTTTGGTTGAAAACAGGTTCAGTTTTTCAAAACGACGCATCAGTGGCAAAACGAAATAACAGGCAAAAAAAGCTAAATGGTAGGGACAAATTATTCCTACATATGCACCCTAGATCTCAAATAAAACACAAAAGAGCAAAGAACCCATTTTCATATTTCCCTACAATTGTAGTACATCTGTAAGACGTTTAAATCAAAAATAGTAGTAGGAAATCACATAGTTTGACACCGGTTTAAATACTCAAATCAGATTCACGTTGCAGTGAGAGACCGAAACATGTCACAATGCAAAACATCGATGAATTTTCCCACTTTACTGTACACGATCCTGTAAAATCAAAGTATTCGGTAAAAGCAGAGTGTACCGTCGGTCGTTTCGTTCCAATAACAGGAACTAGCTGTGTGTAAGCTGCTATTTTCTTTCTGCATGATTACGCAAGTAACTAAATTGGAGTTAGTTTAGAAGATACGTACAAACCTATGTATTTGAACGGCTTATTAAGCCCAGCTAACTGAAGAAGGCATCGGTCAATAATATCAGAAGTCCATGGGCTTATTTTTGTGGAGTCGAACTCGTTGTTTTCTAGGGTTGCAGTAACTGTCTAAAAACGAATCCACTTTTTTGTAAAAGGCACTCACATCCTGAATGGCGGCAGTTGCTTCTGCTGTAGGAAAGGATGCGGACTGCTGAAAAAGTATTAATACCTAATCCAAATGTACTTTCAATTGCTCAAAGTCGACCATTTATCCTTTTCAGCAAAATATCGGTAACCAAATATCTATTTGGAAGACCAACTTGGGTCGGGGGTTAAAACAAAGCTGATACAATGACAATAAAATATTAGCCTACCGGCTTAAAGGTTAAAAATATGTAATCTTGAAACTCTACTATAACGTTGTTTCTACACTCACTGTTCGGAATTGGTCTTTTTATATTGCAAGGACTCATCGACACAAGCAAAGAGTGAATTTATAGGCGCAATTTTGATGCCTTTATCTAGACAATGTTTATTTGCATTAGTGATAACATTTCTACTCATTTTGCAGCTACATAAATACCTGCGGTGTGGGCATCGATTTAACTTTGGGAAAATAAAACAAGTGCCTATTATCTTCAGCCCTTTTTGAAAATGCAGTTCGAATTTTTGCTGTTTAATTATAAGACTAGCTATATCTATAAGTTTATCGACATGCAAGTCTCATACCTATTAGCAGAATATGATCTAGTTGTCGTCTTTAAATGAACAGTCGGTTTTGGCGAACGCTACCAAGCCGAGTCAATCAAGCACCTAAGTGAGATCAGTCTACCCTAGTGATTGTCTTTTCAGTTGTGGTTCGTGCAATCTTTGGGGTGCATGCAAAAGATCTGCTGCGTGTCTCCCTTCACTGGATTGGCTCGAGGCGGGCACAAATGCTGGGCCGTCACTGGTCAGTTCGGAGGCTGCTCCTGTCCCGTCCGCGCTTCCTGCCGTGGCGTGCTCAAGTCCAGTACCTCGAACCTTGCAAGTCGTGTGTGCCAATGGCGTTAATCGAGAACTTCGAAGTCTCTCCGTTGAATAAGAAATCCAAATATGTCACACCCTTTCGCATACACTATCGAAAGGTACTATCATTGTGACGACTGTTTTTACCCTAAGTAGAACGGTGTTAATCGCTGTTGGGACGGAGTGAAGGCTCATGATGGGTTTGCATTTTTAAGCTCTGCTTATTTAAATTCTTGAATTAGAGTTTCAATCCTCATTTACAACAGGGACCGAAAGAGCTTTGTTTTTGTAAAACAGTTTCGTCCAGGTAGGTAGTGTTCTAACCGGGTCTTGGGACTTATGTTTCCAGTAAATAATGCTGTTTCATGTTCACACAAACAGTGGTTTACTATGCTCTACTACGGAAACTCGAGGGGGAGAGTGTAACCGCCGTTGAAACAGAGCCTCACACGCCGACCACTGCCGATGGGTGCCCAATTCATCTCCCCTCCTCTAAGGGTGAAACCCTGGAACTGTGTGCCGGGATTGTTGATAAGGCAGCCGCCACATTGGAAGAGACAGCTGTTAGCGAAATTCACGAGGAATGTGGGTACCGCGTGAATCCCTCAATGTTGAGAAAAGTCACCACTGCGTGGTAGGTTACCCTTTTTATGTATCATTTTCTGGTTACATCGGCGCTTTTTTCCTTGTTCTGGGTGGTTAAAGGTGTAAAATTTCTTTGCGTTTTGTGTAGACATCCTAAACTTCGTGTCTCTTGTTCTTATTTTTAGTTGTTCACAGATCCTCCCTTTATTCTAACGTGTGCAAAAATTATTTGGTGTTTACACGACTCTTCGAGTCATTTTTGCGTCCACTCCTTTGATATGGAAATCTGATGCGTTTGTTTTACCTCACGCCGACCTTATGTTAGTTTAATCTGCTGCAATACTAATGCGATTAACCGTGTGTTCCCTTAGACGCTTAACCAATGAAGATAGTATTATGAAATCTACAAGTGGTACGAAATATTGCCGCCTGTCTACTGTTAAAGTAGTAGCACTTTCCTTTGAGCACTTCATTTTGCACGTTGTACCCCTACTCTCAGTCCTTACATTAGATACTAAGGGATCAGGGCGTTTGTTGTCATCCTCATCCACTCGCCTTAATACAAATTAGATGAGTTGGGTGGTCACAACTATGCCGTCATTGGCACACTTTTGGGGGCCTGAGTGTTTGCATCACTTAACCCATCTCTGCGGTGATGTAAGGTGGCTGTTTGCATTGAGGCATTTCGTGTTTCTAGCGTTGAGTTGATGTTGCTTTTGAGATGAGAAAAAAATTTAATACGTAACCTGGCCGCGTTGACCCTCGTCCTACAAACGTGAGGTCTTTCACCTCACTTCCACATATAATCTCACAGTTGTGTTATCATATGGTTCAAGGTTGTTTCTGCCACGTAATAGACATCCCTGGCTGCAATAAGTTGGATCTGGCACTCTCTATTCCTAAGCGAAGGCTACTCTTTCCAGATGCGTTGTTGATATGAATGATTCAACTGATTCGCACAGTCAAAAATGCAAAAAATTGTTTGGTCTTGGCAATTTTTTTGTAGCAAAAGTGTATTTCGATCGCCCTACTGCATAATGTATGCTTGGATTAACGCCTTTTGAACACGTAGAAATCATGGCTGCCAGCCGAAACGTCCACTTTAGCATTCTTGCAGGGTGGCGCCTCTTTGTCCGCAGTTGACATCCTCGCAGTTGCTTACACTTTCCTAGTGCTTCAAATGAACTCGTGGTTCTAATTTCCTGCGGTTCCAGAGCCCGAGTTTTCCTCCCACTTCAAATTAGTGATATGTTTGTTTAAGTTAACTTTGTTTTCGGGAGCGGTAGAAATTGAAGACAGAAAGAGCTTTTGCTTCTTTTTGGGCTACCGGAATTCTGACAACTTGTGGTATTTCGTTCACTAAAGTTGCAATCCCGCCTTGCACGTATTTCCGACTCGTGCCCGGCTCGCACAAACGACGGTTCCCGCTTTCATAATGACTTAGGCATGTCACTAACTCGTGTTATCCCAGAATTGCCGAAGAAACAGTTTTTGTGTGGAGAGGTGTGTAATTCGTGCCAGAATTTGGGCTTACTCGACTAGCAAAGCCTTCACAGTTGGATAATGGTACTCCCACCGACTCGTTTTGACGGTAGCTACTGCTTGCAAACAGGCTAAGTTAATCTCCTGGCAATGCATGGAAGTTGAGCCAGTTTACAGTTGTCCTGACATCGGACCGCTCGACTACTTCGTAAACAATCCACATTAGTGGATCATGCTAACAGGCTGAAGTATACAATAGAAGCGATAAACACAAAGTTCGTCAGCGAATCCATTCTACCATTTATTATTGTTTGTTTGTTTGTTTGCCTTCCTTTGAAGACAATTTCAGGTGCTCCAAGCAAAGCGATGTAATGTTAAAAGTGGAAAGTAACCGCCAATCTCACGGATGGTAGCTTGAACCTAATGCAAACACCAACATCCTTTGTGGTTTGGTGGGGGTGGGGGTGGTGGCTGTCCTCAAGGCGTCTAATTTGACAGACAGGACTGACTGTGGGACTGGAGGCAGCGCTTGCGAATTTGAAGGGTTTGTATACATAACTTGCATTATAAGTGGTACTTTTTTGTGCCCATTTGACGTCTATGCACCGGTGTTGTTGCCGTCCTTGCATCAAAGCGCAGTGTGAGAGTGGCGTTACTTGGCTTTGGGACGGTGTGGCTCCCTATCCGAGTCCGCGATGGTACACTAGAACTCCGTAATGGCATCCACTTAAAAGGCGACAAAATTGTGAAAAATACGATGATAATGTCAATTTGATATTGCAAAAGCCAAAGTAATGGCAAATTGTACTCGACTCCATTTATGAACCCATTCCCTTGCTAATGGGAAAAAATCTGGAGGAAAGAGCGTTGGGATTTGCCTACCGGATAAGCTAAGATCCTAAGGCATGATTTCGATTGGATTGAAATGTCTGCTTTCTCCTCCAGTTTATTTCGTTCATGCATAGTATGGTAAAATGTAAAAAAAATGTACTTTCATTGGCGTCATGACGTGAAACCGTGATTGCTGCAAAATGGGCGTGTTTTGCGCAACTGTCACCTCAGTTAAAGTTCATCGAGGCCCTTCCAGTTAATTCAGCCGAGCTGGAGGAGGCCGTATTAAACCATCAGCCTCTCCAAGTCCTTATCTACCACTTCATCGTGAATGGCATTTCGTGTATCCATTATAAAAGTAAATAAATTCATCGGTTTCTTGAAACTCCTTTCGATAAGGGAGACGTTCAAGTCAAACTGAGGCTTGCACCTCATTCCTTCTTCCATCTGTCTCAGTTTTTAAGTAGTGCCTAGTATGCACTCGGATCGTCCCTGCACAGGTGGCTTCATCTTGTCATCGACGTTAGCCTGAAGATGGAGGATGTCTTTTTACGTATTCGTAAAGGATTGTGTTGACCATTTTTAGGTAAATTTTCCTGTTCGATTTTGGGATTAAGTGTTCCATGTGCACATAACCATCGTCCACGGGGGTGTCTCAAATATTCGCTGCAGCTGAACGCTCCATCAGCGTTCTATGCTTGGAACTCGCAGGTTCTGCGCCTTCGTTTACACGAAACTTCATGATCACTCTATTCTATGCCCATGTGTGCGTGACTGCTGTTGCATGCGGCCTCTGTTAATGGTGCTTGGGGAGGTCCATGGTGTGTGTCGGTTTGAAGGTTTTCCAATCGACGGTCTCTTTAATGGCTATCACCTGCCTTTTTTTACAGTGCTAGCGTGGGACTGAGCGGCACGACCTCCTCAGTCTTCTACGTGGAGGTTGGCGACGCAGATTTGGACCTCAACGCGGGAGGTGGCAACCCCGAAGAGGGTGAGTTCATCGAGGTGATCTATTGGCCTGTGGAACGCGCAGACGAGTTGTTGTTCCTCACCGAGACCAGTACACCGGTGTCAGCTACCGTTGTGCTTGCGGTGCTGTGGTTCCAGCGTCACATTCTCCCCTCCCTAAGCCTTTCACCAAAGAGCTGATGAACTAGCGAGCCCTTCGCGGTCCCCTTTTTCTCTGCTTCGCTCACCTAATTGTTGATCTTTCACCTGATGAAACTAAATTAAACAATTAAGTCTTTCATTCTACTGGGTTCAAGCTTCTGCCCAACTCAGGTTTCCGCTCCTCTTCGGGTTAGTTTCACCCCATCTCCATTACACTAAATCTAAGGGGGAATTGTTTCCAATCACCGGTAATTAGAAGGATGGTCTTTCTGGATTATTTAGCGATATCTTGAGGTGAACTCTGTGAATTGGTCAGTTTTGGTTGGCGCCTACAATTGAATGGCGGACTCGGGATAGTGGAAGGCCAAGGGATTTCTGAGTGATTAGGTCATGCTTGCCTTTGATTGCGAGTAGTGGTTACCTTTCCTAGATACCTCTCTAGAATGCATCTTTTTTGAACACTAGCAGCCACGCCTAGAGCGGAAGCGCCGGACACTGAATCCGTGAAGACGGTGTTTGGGTTGAGAACGCGGGAACTAGCTCCCCTTGAGGCTATACCACGTTATCAGTGGTGTACACTTCCCCTCCTCCCCACTTAAAGAGATTTTAAGGCTAGAATCACTACAATTGTTATGTCACTAGTAATCGATGTGAAAAGGGTTGGGGTATTGATGGGGTTCTGTCCTGCATGGGCCGTTGGACAACCCAAGGGTGTACAACTTAGGAGCGATGGATAGATTAGGTATCATTCTCACCGTCGCCAAAATTGTCAAAGCACTGGGAGGCAGTTACTTTAGTCCGGTAAAACCCTTACCCAGATTTGTAGTTTTAATTTGAGACGAGTTTTAGCTATACACCTAAGCGGCGATTGTCAAGTAAACCCTTTATCTTAAAACGCCTGTACAATCAAATTTTCACAAAAACAGGGCAGTTCAATGTTTCATATTTTCCCCCAATTAGGATAGTGCCTAGCCTTTACAAAAGAAAATACAAAAATATTGCAAGTACAGCATGGTCTATTTACACCTTTTGCTTAAGATCCTCTTGTAGGGCAAAAGTAAGTAAAGACTAAGACTAAAAGTAAGAAAGACTGGTGTTCCTTGCTTTATATAGCCAGACCGAAACACGTGACGATACAGTACATGGACCCATTTTCCCACTTTATTGTGCAGTTTCCTGTAGAAAACTTTATATAATAATTTAACACGTACCATCTGTTGTTGCGTCCCAGTAACACGTACTCCCTGTATAGAGGCTGGTGCCGTCTTTTTGCATTATTACACAGGTAACTGAAATAGAGGTCAATTACCAAAAATAATAAAAACCAAGGTATTTGAATGGGCGGTTGAGTTTTGTTAACTGATGTAAACACTGCTCTGTAATTTCAGACGCCCATGCATTCATTTTTGCGGATTCAAGCTTATTATTAGTTAGTGCATTAGCGACGATCTGTTACTATATGTTAGAGATAAATGTACTCACATCTTTTATCACGGCAGATACCTCAATTGATGAAAACGCTGCGGGTTGCTAAGAAAGTAGCAGAGATGAAAAAGGACTTACTTCTACTTCCTCACTCTCTCCCATTTGCCAACGTCACGGTTTCACATAATATCTTTGAAAATTGTTTCAACACCGCATTTTGAGGATGATGTATAAAAACACACAAAAGCGTGGACCAGGACAAAACAGAATAAATATACAATACCCGCGCTGAATGTCTGATGTAATTTGCTTTTATAAAAACTAGGTCTTAGAGTATTGTACGTACCATTGTTAAAGTATGCAAAAGGTCATAATATCTGAAGTAGTTGTGATTGACACCGTTGTCATTGATCGCCAAACCTATTATAGCTCTTTCTACCCAGTGGGGCAAATTTAATTAATCAAAATCAAATAATGCATTTTTTAGTGGCAGTTGTGGCGTCCCGAGACTCCCTGAAGACGAAAGAAGACAAAATACTCGGGCAGAATACATATATTTAGCACGGAGAAGGTGTTTGGGCTATTGGCATGGCCAAAAAGGCCAGCCTACCCAGCGACGTACAAGGGGGCTGATTCAAAGTACAAAAGTGGCGCCTCACCAGGACCGAGGGATAAACCACTATCGCATTACAGCAGTGTCCATTGTGAAAGCGTTGCCCCTCCCCCTCTTGGATGGTGAGTTCTAACACTTTCGTTTGAGCTTCACGGGGATATAGTCTTAACCATAGTCTCCTCGCATGATTCCAAAATGCGAATTTGCGTTAGCTACCTAAATATGAAAAAAGCACTCCTCTTTTGAGCAAACATGCAAAATTAAAGCTCTTCGGGGCTCTTTCTGAGTTGCAACAAGTAAATCTTACGCATTAAGTGTATCCCGATTAAAAATCAACTAAATGCTGTTAGGGGATCGAAATCCCCTTTATTGGCTTCTGTACAGTCGAAACATTCTACTCATTTTGTTTGAGTAGAAATCGGTGGTTAATAAAAAATAAGAAAACATTTTTTAGTTAACAATATTTCCGATTTAGTAATTGAATCAGGTGTTAGAATTTGCGTTGGTTTAAGTTACCTAAGGTATTAGTTATTTGTAATTATGCGACAGTTCATATCTTCTTTGGTCACCAGTGGTTTGTACGATCGTCGTAGTGGCACAACCCTTTAGCCTTGCCTATAACCTTCCGAGTTTTTAATACGCCAACAATAAAGCGTCCTCATGTGCTGATATGCCCCCTTTGAAAAAAATGAGAAGCCACGATAGTTAGAACAGTAGGTGGAACGAATTCCGACGTTATAGAAATGCGATATTTGATTTTTAACCCCCGAAGACCAGCTGGGACTACTAAGAAGTCTTCTATTCCAAGCTCTATGTAACAATTGCCAGTAGAAAGAGATGGGAGACTAAAAGCGGTCTACTATATTCTTCTAAGAGAGATTGGTGAATGTGATAAGTTAGCTGAAGTGTATCGTCCAGTTCTAGCCATTGGTAATTCTTCTCAATGACTTTTTCCTCCCTCCTCCTCTTCCTCATTCTTTACTACTGTTTCTAGGAATCTGGGCCCGACGTGCTAGACAACAGTCATCCATTTAAGCAAATGCTACACACCATCCGTGGTCCCTTGCAGTTAGCTGCATTTCACAAGAAGACTCGTCAATCAGAGCAGGAGTGTCTGCTGCCAGACTGGAGCGAGGCTCTCTAATACGTTACCTTTTTTCAGTTCCAGTGGATTGTACTGTAATCTCCGTTGCAAAACACTTCGAACAACCTTCCAGTAAAGGTCCATTACTTCATCTGATTGAATTATATGGCATGGATAAAATACGTCAGTTTGACAGTAAGATACGCCTCCTTGTGCCCCTTCCCCCCTTATTTTGCCAGCACCCCCATGTCATTCAGTCATAAGGCATAAAAGCTACTAAAAGGAATGGGCTCCACCCGCGCTCATTAGGGGATGATGAAAAGACTCATCCAGCGCCAATTTGTACACGATTTCTTTCAAGCCAGTGCATGCATTGGTTGGCCGACTGACCGACTAACCTCGGGTGGTGTTTGACTAGGCTAGTAATTATGAGACGATCCACTACCGTTTGCACATTTACGAGACAGTACTTCATCACGGGAAGGTTGTGTTTGAATTGTAGGCGAGTGTAATGGGCGGGAAGCCAAATTTTTAAGATAGTTGTGGCTAAGATATGTCTTTTTCATTTTACCATGCCCGAAACATCTCGAACATGCAATGTAAAAAACGTGTTTAAAAACAACCAGAGCTGGTAACCTGGTCATTCGCTATGAAAGAAGTACCATTGTCTTTTCGCCATGGAAGATTTGCACTTCAAAACGGGGCCGGAGGAAGGATTGTTGGAAAGACGAAGGTAGGGAGGGAGGAAAGGAGATGGAAGCATTGCCTCATCTTCGCCCCTCCTACTCCTCTGTTGACACCTCTTCATGTTATATGTTTTTACATTTTTATTCTTTGAACGATCACATTTAACCACCCGAACCCCTCTACTCCTGTCACTTAGACTCTAATCCTGCTCAAAACTGAGGGAACACACAAGAACTACTTGAACTTCGGAGCACACAGACAGACTTTGTCCCCTCCAGACGTCCATATATAACTTAGGTGCTACTGTCAGCCGACTGTTAAACCGAGTTGGGTCAAACGTTTGAAGCACCTACAGTTATGCACTCCTACATTGCCACAGCCATTGCCGCCCTTCTCCTCACCAGCACCCTCGTCCATGCCCAGTTCAGCGAGCGTGGTGAGGGTTGCACCACCCTGCATTGTCAAAGGCACGAATTTATGATGAAGGAGCGTGAGAAGCTAAATGAGATGCAGCTTGACTTGATGGAGATGTTGATGGACATCCAGACCATGAATGAGCAAGAAGCCTACTACGCCGGCCTCAGTGGTGTGGCTCTCCAACAACCACATCGGATGCCCATTCAGTAGATGCGAGGAGGAGAAGAGAGCCCACCAAATAGCCTTCGTACTAAACACTACCAATTGCTTGTGATTTCTATTAATAAATTGGAGTCGAAATTGCCTTTTATGTCTGAGGTGTTGTGATTTTTTGATGCAGTTGGGTATTTTAGAGCCAGCGAGTAATTAGTGAAGCGATGGAGAAAGATGTGAGAATCTAAAAAGCATTGCAATGGCACTGGAGTGTTTACCACACCTACCAGATATCTAATGAAATTTGATTGCATCGGTCGAACGTGCCAGTCACACAAAACTCCTTCTTGAAGATCCGCATGCAGTGTGGCATTTTCAGAGGCAACTTTCAGAGGCTCTGACACCTTTTTATGTAGTTAAAACTAAAAAAGTGGGTAAAGTGATTACCAAATCTGTTCCATGGCGTGAGTAAAATTGCAGCCTTGAAGTCACATTATCAAAAACAATCGGAATCCTTCATGACTCCACTAATTCTGCCAAAAACGAACCCAAACGCTGCAGTTTAACCTCTTTATAGGTTCATTGGAGTCATCAATTAGCTGCATCCCCTTGAACCAGGTCCACTTTTTTCCCAGGTTATGATATGACTTGTACTAACTGATTTTTCAGGGGGGTTCAGCGATTGTTTGACGTCTCGGTGGGCAGTTGTCATCGACAGGTTCACACAAAGCCGTAAGGACAAGTTGGTCCTGCCAATCCGTTTACAGGAAACTCCTATTTGACATTATACACTATTGCTCTAAATCCAAGATCACTATTGCCTGCCATCTTGATTAACGACGTCTGGAGTGACCCAAAATGGCTATGCCATCTACTGATCCGAATTTCGGGACACTTGCTACTTAATACGAGGTGCAGTTATAAGTAGTACGCATCATCTCTGAAACAAGTACAATTAAATGTCCCTTCAATAATGCCAAACATCATAAATTACCCCTCCCATTCTCTTTACCCACAAATATTAGGAAAGTTTTGATCAACGAGAAAGTAATTATTACCGAAAAAGGCAGACAGACAGACACGCAAAAAGACATGGCATGAAACTGCCTCATTTACTGTTTGCTGCTTGGGTGGTGTGGATGATGGCCACTCGTTTGACCTGGGTAACGCAGGCTGGTGGGCCAGTAAGCCCCCAGATGCCCCAGGCGTTCGATCGTACGACGAAGACGCTCGAGGGAGATGAGAATGTCGCGTCTCAACAGCGTCACGTCGCGCTGGGTCACCTCAGCGGGTCTCATCGCCTCGCCGCTCTCATGGTGCTCCGCTGCAGCCTCGGACTCTACCGGTTCCTCGGCCTCCCTTTCGCCCACATCGCTGGGACGGCGTTCTCGATCGAGAAGAAGTTCACTGTCTAAGAGAGTGAAGAATGCTTGCGTCTGCACGATGGCAAAAACCAACAAAACAGCCGAAATTGCTGAAGCTCTCATTTCTAATGCTGGGTGGTTAATACTTCACTACGTGCATCTGTCCATCCTTTTATACTGTCATATTCAGCCTCCTTTACTTGAGTTCAAAGGTTGATTGGCATTAAATGGACTTGTGCACTTAGGCAAAAAGATTATGAAAGCGGTCTACCATGACGAAAATCTTGTCAATAGCAACTAGATGGAAGGTTTATTGACTTTGCACCTAGGTTAATGGATCACAGTAGCCCACCATCACTTGATATAAGTGTATAACAAATAAGCACAGTCTTTAAGAGTTGAGTATTGTCATACCTACAATTTTAGTTAAACGTCTATTAGGGACTTCACATTGGACTGCTGTATCCGCCAGCTCCCCTTTAAATAAGGTTTCACTGCTAGTAATGTCTTATACCTTTTAGTTCAAGCAATTAGGGGCGCGACATAAACGAGATATCCACCTTAATTGCATACAAATTCACGAAGGATTTGAAAATCTAAGACACGTTTTGACTATCAGATAACCGATCTGTTGCTCAATCGTAAAGTCGCATGTTTGTGAACTAAATTAAACAAAATTTGTGCAAGTGATGTGTATTATTAAATTTCAAAGTCTTAAACTTTGACGGCTAATAAAGGATATTTAGCATTAAGATGCCTTTTATTATATATAAGTACAATATGTCACTAATACATTACAAATTTCAAATAAATGCATCAACTTTTTTCCAAACCACTTCACATTTCCTGTTTTATATGCTTTTGTCCTGTACAATAAAAAAAAAACTAGGCCCAACTATTTAAATGCTAACTGCACTTCCTAAACAACCCCGACCGTTCTGGAATTTGTTGAGTCATAACAGACAGGAATGTTTAGTAGTATTACGCCAAATACTTCCCACTTGTGGAAATCTCTTTATATTGGAACAACAAAGGCTGAATTTGTTTGAATTCTTGGCAGCACGTCAGTGTTACCGTAGGGCACGACACACGGGTCTCCTCCTCCCTGTTCCTAGTGTTCTTAAGACAACCCGGTTGATTCAATTTTCACATATTTATTAGAAGGAATTGATTGGGAGAAAAAGTACATAGTTTGGGGAGAGGAGAGACCACAATCGCAGTAAGGCACGATTGACAACGATCCTGTCACCAGATTTGAATTACATCCTTGCCTCCTCCCTGAAAGGAACATTAAAACAACATGAGTATTACACTACTGGAGTACAGATGTCATGCCGTCGACTTCGTTGCCTGCGTAACCAATCGCAGGATCAAACGAACCACCAAAGCATTACACAATAGGTGGATTAAACTAAATAAACAAGTCTTGTAAATTCCTTGTTAGACAACCGCTTAAAGAACAACCCTTGTCAGAAATCAAAAGGGTTTTAAACAACGAACATAAGTCAAATACTTATTTGTGGCATTCACTTTAAAATGAGGACATCTAAAGGGCAAAATTTAAGGCGTAACCCTCGTGTTTGGGAAAAAATAAATGGTTAAATTAAGTCCATTTCAACATGCACGCATGTTTTAAAAACGTATGCCTAGTGCAGTTCGCCAAAGCATTTCATAGTAAAGATTTGTGCACCGATTACAAAGAATTTGTCTTTGTAAAAAAATAGCAGAATTTCAGGCCATTTTTACTCCTCATTTGACTCTCATTCTGTCCCTCTAAAACCTTCAGTAATTTTGAAATGATATTTAAACAAACCCCTACTAAAATATAGGTTAGTTTGAAGGAGAAATGTAACTAGGAGTGCCGAAAATAATAATAATAATAGATATTCATGAGTGAATATTTATTTTAGAATAGAATAAATAGATTTATAGTACAATAACCAGCATTGAATTCAAAGGTGGCTATTGTTCTTGAAATAATTGTCAACTTTTGAAGGAAAAGCATTTTTTGGTACACCACTGAAAAGTCGATTTAACAAGCACTTATTTCATCCTAGGGCCGTAGTAAGTCATACCAATGCGGAGGAGTGGTTTATTTTAGAAAAAAGTTGATGACTGTGAACGTTGTCCGCCGTACATGCTGCGGAGATGGCAGTGCAACCGACGGGAACTGACGGAAGCTAACAAAGTTGTAAAAGCATATTGGCAAAGAGTAGGGTACTTTACCGACCCTCACCTTCCCCCCACCCCTTCTCCCTTTTAAACGTCAGCCTCGACGCTGCTCGTGGTCACTCGTGTGCTTCAACTGTGGTGAGTCGTCTGGTTACTTGCAGCCGACCGCGAGAGGCGGTGGAGGCGGAGGTGGGCATTTTGCGTCGGAAGGCGAACTCCACCATAGCGACGGTAGTAACCGCCGCATGTCTGATGTGGTTTTCTGAACACCGTCCCATATGTCACGCAAAATATGTCTTGGAGGAAGGTTCTCTAATGGGTCACTTTGTTTTATTAGCATGCTAAACTTAGTCTGTACCCACATCCTTCACAAATTCCATCAAGTTTTTAACACTAAAAAATTCCGGTCCCCGAATTAGTGGCCAAAAGTGAGGTATGCTGAAAATGGACATTAATTGACCCTGGTTGGTGTAAACAACACCAACACATGGTGGAGGCTTGGATTTACAGGTGCTGGTTGCCATCTGAGGCAGTTTTTGCTAGTTCCGCCTCTAACTTGTGTTGAAGTGTCTTTAAAAGGGCCTGGAACGTAATTTAGCCCGTTTTATAGCGCTACTGACCTTTTCATCTGTAATGGATGCAGCAAAAGCTAATTTTAGAACAAATTAGTCTTAAAATTTTAAAACCCCCATTTTGGTGTCTGCTCAAAGGTTTTTGGTCGATTTCATTACCACCGCGGTTTTGCTAGATGATTCAGTTCCATGAGGTTTCAACATTGAGCCCTCCAGCTTCTTTTCACGATTGTTGAACTTCCGGTTTTGATAACTGGTCACTCAGGGGGCGCCGCCGCAGTACCTTCGCCTGGCGGCCTTGCCCCCGAGCCCTGACGGTGGCTGCCTCAATCCCACCTGCGTTTCGGCAGCATATATTCTGTCCAAACATTATTGTTGTCTTCCCTTTGCCTTCAAGAAAGTCTAGGAGTGTAAGAAGACAAATTGCTGGAATTGCTTGGACCTTAGCGATGGATTCACAGTGAAAACTTCCAGTGACTAGCTGATGTGTTGGGGACTTACAGAGGCGAGTGGAGCGTAGTTAGTCAGTCGGTCGGACCAGCCGTCGGCCGCACTTTGTCAAACCACATGAAAGCAATTAAAAATATATTTTATGATCATTGAGGTTTTTTAGTCATTTCTTAGAGCATGCGGGTGGAATCCACTCCCTTGGTAGCACGCATGGCGTTGTTTCCTCACTCAAGTTCCTTTGAGCATCGCAGATGGCTCCTCTTCGTCTGTTCCATCCAGCAGACAAGCTGGAATCTAGTCCACCAGATTTTGCTCAAATGATACTGAATGATATGATGGGGGTTTCGAAATTGGCGAAAAGTGGTGAAGAACTCGATACCTCGTCGATATGCCCTACTGACCGACTGTCTTACACATCTAGGTTGTGTCTCAACACACGACTCGAGGGACAATCGCCTATCTATTGCCAGGCTGCGCATGTCACAAATCAGACAGGAATACATTTTTTCCCTCCCTCTAAGGAGAAAAGTGAATTTTATAATCCACCACCGCATTTGGCGTTGCTTTAAAATAAAAACTGCGATTGTCTCCACAGCTGTGGTAGTGTATTTGACTAAGAAACTGCACAAATTCATTCCGGGCGTCTTCTCATTAGGGAGGAGAGCGACGAGTTGGAACCTCCGCAAAATGAAGTTTTTGAACTGGCGGCGACTGCAACGGTAATGCCGACTTGCCCTTCTCTTGAAACACGTGGTCACTAACTCGCAAAGAATTATTTTACCGGCGAAATTTAAATTCACTTATTGTGTGTGGGGATCCTAACTTGGAAGTTTGGGTGACTTTTTACCAACCATATGTCACAAGCAGGAGGAAGGAAGATTCTAGAATACTTATATGATTCCATTAAGTGAGGAATAAGCAAGACTTGTACTTTGAAACTGCAAATTCATATGTGTGTGACGGTGAGGATCGCCTGGTCCGAAGTCCATGCCCTTCAAAGCACCACTTGGGTGGAATGATTCTTAGAAGTCAAGTGCCTGTGTCTGGAACGCTGCCAAACGCACTTGTGGAACGCCTATATAAACACCGAGCTAGCTTCCTGCGTTCTGTTTCCGAAATGACATCGCTCCTCCTGGGATTCCTCTGCCTTCTCGCCACGGCGGCTGGTCAGCATTCACCCGTGGATGCGCAACCAGTGGGCTTGTCCACGAACTGGCAACAGGATGCCTTCTTCCGTCGGCAGAGAGCAAGTCTCATGGATTCCAAACAAGCGCTAATCGCTATGATTAACGAGTTGAGGGAGACTATATTCAGGCAACAACTCCTCCTCAGCCAGTATTTTCGCGACCAAGCAGCCCAGCCGGTTCAACACCCAATTCCTGTGTGAAGGCAGAGGAGGTGCGAACGTAACTGCATTATAGTCTTGATTCCATAATTCTTAATAAAGACTTTGCTAAGCTTAATTTACTTGAAGAAAATGAAATCAGGTTTGTCTACTCTTTCCTAAGTTAGAGCCTTCTTCTGGACAAACGAAAAAGCCGGCAAGTGATTGGCTGGCCCACGGTTGCGAGTAGGTCAGTCAGGTGATGAAGGTGGAGTTCTTACAGTCAACTTCAAGAAAAATGATGGCAATTAATAGCTAGGGCGTTTTCCTTCACCACCATTATGCGTGATGGGGCAAAACGGGGCGTGTCACTCCGAAATAGCCAAAATTTGAAAAAAGCTGGTTGTTAAGAGGATTTATTTGACCATGGATGCTGGGGTGGTCCCTGTAAAGGTGCACCAATCACCACAGTCCAGGTATTTTTCATTTCCATTTAATTTAGTGGGATTTACTAAATTGTAAGACGTAAGCATACAAAAAGCTAGGCGTCACGCATATGTGACGACGGTAACAAAGAGAACAATGTGAAGAAATCATTGATAGCAAATTTGCTCGCTTAACTTAGATCCTAGTTATTTGGCAAATAATGTCAGAAAAGTTGTACATAACAACAAAAAGAGCAGGTGATATCTTGGCTCATATACTACTTAAATACTTTGTCAGCCTATTCTTTATAACAGTGATTTTAAAGAAATCTGCTAAATTTAAAGTACTAATAGGTAGTTTTTGAAAATTTCAATCTTCTGCTGACAAATCTTGTTCCTTTATGCTAAAAATGACAACTCGTTTAATCTAATTTTGGCACGAGGGGCGACGCAGATCACTGTCACATTTGCATCAGACGCTAATATCTCGACGTCAAGGTAATCTCCTTTCGTTACACCTCCAAATGATGACGTTGGTGCATCGCTTTCGCCAACGTTGCACCTTTTGGAATCACACATCTTTCAAGGCTGCTTCAGAACTCTTCCCTACATAGTGAGAAGTCAAGTTTCAGGGTAGAAGAAAAAAGGGCGGTCCCATTTTTCCCACTCTGTTGTTTTAATCCTACTTGAAATTCTCTCATATTTTAAGTCACTGCCATAGGCAGTGGTGAATGTTTCCTCTTCTTATAACCTGCTGTGAAGCTGCGTGTGCACCAAAATCTGTGAGGTTGCCAACCTAAGATAAACAAGGCGTGAGATTCAGAACCCTTTAGAAACAAGAAAACTTCTTAAAGGATTAAAACAAAGTAGTTTTCATAGGGTTGTTGATATTTTTGGGCACCAACAAATCTAAATTAACAAACCAGACCTAAATTAGTTCCTTTATTGTAGTGCGTGTTTTTTAAATGTGTCTTCTAAGTCAGTGGCGATCAGCAGACCCAAACCTTCTGCCGGATCGGACTCCATAGGTTTTAAGGGCCGAAACGTGTCCTGAATACGCCTGGCCGTGGCACCCGTCTGCTTGCTCTAAGAGCACAAAGGTTTCAGTGGAAGAGAGAAAATCTCCAAGCCTATTGCACCACAGTGCTCGCGCAGTAAAGTCATGCACCAAATTTAAGAGAGCCGGTGTAAATCAGTTTTGAGAATTAGAAGGAGGGCATCGCCAACTGCATTTTTTTACTACCTTAGGTAAATTCAAAAGTTCAAGTGTGAACTCCACCAAGCACGGACTTTGGTCAAAATATCTACCACACTTATTTGAGGTGTTTTTAGAAAAAAAGCCGCCAAATAATGCAGGCCCACAGGGCCGCTTTCACATACTCACGCGTGGACGGAAGGCAGAGGTAAGCAACCACATTGAAGGTGTTACAAAATTTCCACCTCCTTCGAAACGAAGAGAGTCGGTTGATGGCATTGCGTACGAACAAGGGAGAGTAGAATCTGCAGAATACAAAATTTATGTGCTAGTTGGGGTAGGGAGCACTTTAAATGGTGCGGGTACCAATGCTGCGAGCCGTTGGTATAATATAGGCTCTTAAAAAGCATAAAATTGACATTGTTTGTGTATACAGCCAAAGTGCACGGTTTTACTGCTTAAATAACCTCCAAATTGGCTTTGGCGGAGTCTTCAAACCTACTTTTGAAATTCGAGTCTTTTTTGACTCTCCATGAGTCAAGAGTTTGAAGGTTACTCCTGCAAGTGATGCGAAACACACCAATTGCGGAGTAGCGTGATGGGGCGTCGCCTATCGAGCTGCGTTTTATAAGGGCGTTGGTGGGTGTTCACCAGTCAACAGATTACCCACGAATGGAGGAGATTGAATGTGAAGAACAATGTGCTCAATGCCACAAAATTTGTGGAACGCCACAAATTCTTCCCTGTGGAGATATTGTCTGCAATGAGCACTGCCCTCCCATTGTACGCGGACAGCCATGTCCTGTGTGCAAAAAGGTGAGTTGAGTATCTCGAGGAATCAAGAACCTTCATAATCCTGGTAATAACACTGAGACTTTATAACGATTTATCGCTTGCGTGCTACCTTTAGTTCAAAATACTGCAAACCTTATTCAAATACGACTCGTGGATGTCACAAATAGTTTAATAAATCCCTCATTTTAATACTACCGTAAATAATTGTATTTTACTTAAATAACATAAGTAGCAAATGCTATAGACTAGGTTGAGCAAGATATAAAAAGGACAATTTCTAACTCAAGAGCTTATATTAACGATTGTGGTAAAAATTGCCTTTTTGCCGCAGATTTTTATCTCTGAGCGTCTTTTTCAAGTTCCCTGCCCCACTAACCAAGAGGATTCCTCTCGACCAATGGATGATTCCACGAGGGAGGTTAGGGATAATTGGTTTGGAATGGGTACCAAAAGAGGCAGAGAGCGGTACCTTACTTCCCCATGTGAAAATTGGTTCTTCTGTGGCCACGAAGCTTGTTACCTGAGCCACCAGAAGAGCATGGGCCTAAAACGAGGCAGACAGGTGGTTGCAAGGACAATTGAGGACTGATTGTCTTGCTGCTGCAGACATCTTCCTTGTAAAGATTTTGTGTGAAGCACAATGGTGTATTGTGAATATTTATTAATTTGAGTTGTCTCTAGAGGACTGCTTTTATATACCTATATATTTATTAGCATTTTTGGTGACCCATACCAAGTATCGACAGTTACTCCTCGTCTGCGGTGGAGTCTGGAGTCTAAACCCAATGAGTGTTCTAGCTACTACTATATATTTGATGGCATTTGGGCAAAGTTTGAATAACTACACGCTTGGCTGCAGTGACAGTGTCACCTTCTATATCCGTTCAATACTATCCTTCCATCAGAAGAATCGAATTATTAAGTAGATTAGGGCTTCATTTAAATAAAGACATCAGGTCGTATTTAAAGTTTAAGGCATGGAAAATCTCATTACCACAAGGAGCGCGAATTAGGCACTGGAGGCACTTTTTAGTGCTAAAAAAGAAGCATGTTATCACTGATACCTCCAACTAGCCAATCAAATGCCTCCTTACGCGCGGCGCTCTCGTGGCATTGGCTCCTCGTCAACAAGTGTCAATTACACCGCCACACCAGCTCGATCTTGACAGTAGAGTGCAGTGTGCTTTAAATTTCTCGCCTGGCGGTGTAAGGGGGATGTTTGAATTTGAGTGTCCCATCTGCTTGGATTTTACTGTAGATCCTTACGTACCTCCCTGTTGTGAGCATTTCAACTGTCGCAAGTGTTTCAATAGCATCCAACCTGTTAATAACCTCCTAAGTTGTCCAATATGCCGAAAACAATTTAGACTTGATCAAATCAAACCGTATGAACCGGAACCGCCATCTATGAAGTATTGCCTTGATCTTTCCTGCCAACCAAATAGCGGTTGTACCAAGGTGCACATTGATGAGCTCTGTAAAAACCCGACAGGGACATTTACACCTCTTGCTAAACTACCGAGAGAAAATACGGGGGAGATCAATGAGCCTACATTGGAGCTGTCTGAAAATGCAACATATTGCAACGATATCTGCTGTCCAGGTGGAAGGAATGCCAAATGTGGAAAGAAACATGAGGAGGATTTGAATTTGAGGACAGTAGGTACCTGAAGAGGCAATTGGACGATGTGAGATACCATTAAACCTTATTTGTTATGTGCCTTTCTTTAGCTTTTAATGGTCATAATAGATATCTTGTAATCTTTATTGCCAATGTTTGGGACAAATCTACTACTTTATCGGAAAGGAGAGCCTTTTGAACCTCTTGACTTATCTGGGTTAAGGTATGGAATCCAAGTTCAAGTCATCAAGTTCTTGAAGCTTGTTGGTGGCAATCAGCTCTATGAGGGTGGAGTGTTGTGTTCACTCCACTAAAGAGGCGTTAGTGCTAGGCACTCGTGAAGTAGATTAAGTGGACCAGAAGCACGAGATTGGAGTACCTGTCTCAATCCTAAAAGGTGACACCTCTCCGCAGGGCGTCTGGATGTAGACTGGTGGAGCGGTGGGTTAGTCGGTCGGTGCAGAGGTGGTGTGATGGCGGGAACTATGCCGGAGGGGTGGCATAGTTTCCTCATAACGCGTTATACTGATTTCGGGGTGGAGAGTCTTTTCCCCTTCTATTAAAGTTGGAAACTTGAGTTACCCCGGAGACAAGATGTGGAGATGCCTAATTCTGAGTGGGCATTCATCTACTAAAGAAGTAACCCTAGTGAAGTGAAAGAGCGCTCACTCAGTTGCTATTTTTAACGCCAGTCTTGAGGCACATAAGTGAGTTCTGCTTGATTTAATGTGATTTCGAGTTGCGGCTACGCCTGTAACGCACCGAGACTTCTCGGAATGACGAAGGCGGATCATGTATTGTCGACATGCAGGAGGGGTTAAGGCGCCTTTACCAAAACCGAGAGTCAGACAAACGATTGAATTATTTCAGGTCTCATCTTCCCCTGTTTGATGTGGAGAAATTGATAGGAAAAAAAGAGATTTACCGATCCCTACTTTTCTCATCAATTTTGCTTTTGCAGCTCATGCGAACAAAAAGAAAAGTGCCGTCAAGGTTGAATTTTAATGAGCTGAAAAGCTGTGTTGTACTCCTGGTCTACTTGTTGATGCATTACATCATCAATTTTGACCTTGTCAAAACGGGTGTGACCCTGGGAATCACCAAGATCCCCCTACTCAATTATTTAGTAAAATGCGCATATTTCAGTCTACTTAACATCGTAAAAAGAAAGTTTTATGAGGAGGTCATTCTCAGGTCAAACTGAACATTTGAAATACGACACCAAGGCCGAATTTATTAACAATCGATAAAAAATATCGATCACGACTGCCTAGTAAGGGTCACTCTTCTTCCCCCCCAAACCTTGATGCACTCTTATCGATTTTCGGTGCATTGGCTCCGAGTAGAACTCACTGGCAATCGCTGGCTTGATTCCTACTCAAGTCGCTCCTGCGGCTACTAGTCGGTTCGACGAGCTTCCACGTCTTGAGGTTGTTTGCTACTTCCACAAGGGCTTCACTTCCGATGGCGCTATCGAATTCTTCAACTCAAACATTATTCTTTGCCTCCCTGCTAGATGCACTTCTTCATAAAATAAATCTGCACCTGTTAAAATTTACTTGCTCAAGTTTGGAGGTGCTCAAGGATACCTATGCCGAATGATTGACGCAATTATAGGTGTGGAAAAAATAGCTCAACTCAAAAGTCATTTTACAGTTTTGTGTTTTTGTTGGGCCGAGTTATTCGCCAACTAGCTGAATTATTTCATTACGCTTCTCCCAACTTTTAATTACCCAAAATTAATTGAGGTTTGGAAGAAGGGAATTAAGGTTGGCAAATTGTGTGATTATGAGACGGGGCCATTTTCGTCCAGGTGGGACAGGCACACCCTCCTCGGACCGCATGGAAGTCTCAGTGAGACAGTGGACCGAACCTATCAATCACCATTTCAACTCTCAGGTGCTAGAGCAGCCTTCTCCATGCAGTCCAGTCTACCTCCAAAAAATTTGTGTTTGAGGGGGGATTCGGTTCATTGACCTCCCTCAAAATCAACAGAATGCGGAGCGAAGCGGAGTGCAGCTTCTATGAACAACATTTTTGGTCTACTTAAATCCACTACCAGTAGTATGCGATTCTGATTGAGATGGTGGTAGTGCTGAGTTAAGTTGAATGCTCCAGATCCAGTAGTTGATCTTAGCTTTCACAAATCGCGCGGGAAGTCATCTAATGCGGAATCAGTTGGGACGCCCAACAGCCGTCCAAATGGGAGCGGTTCTGGGTGTACACTGCGGATGTACCAACGTTGGTGAGGGAGGGGTTTCTGCGTCGCGCATCCGGTCCGTCTGTTCTCACTACAGCAACTTTTTGAACATGTGATAGTAAAAGAACCTCTGGTGTATTCCCGCTAATTGAAGTGACTCGTGTGGTGAAGCTAAGTTGGCAAAACTTCATCAGGTTTCCAGTTCCAGGAGCCATCGGATCACTGCTAAACCCATTATCCATTTTTAAAAAAAAGGAAACGCATTTAAAATGCGCAATGTAGGTAGGGATAACGCAGCAGTGTATCTGTGCGAAACACCTGGAATAGTGAATTGAGAACTTGGTATCGCTTCATGGGTCTATATCCAGCGTCACAAATTTGTGACGAGGCCATCTATACCTCCATCGAAAAAAAAACCATTTATTCACTCTAAATGCAACAAACCTGGATTCACTTATTTGCCTGTCCCGCCGCATCCACTAATTCTGGTCCATCAATTTATTCCAGAGGCATCCATCTATTTCGGAGGCACTATCTACTTTGGATCTAAGTGACCTACCTTGATGTGTCCTTTTATTAGTTCCCGAGGCCTTCGTCAACCATCCGTTCCACTTAAGGCCTACCAGCAATACTATGGCCATTAGGCAGTAAAAAGCAGAAATGGTGTAAAAACGAGACAACGAATCATTAGGAATAAAAGACAAGGACAAGGCGGAAGGAATGGATAGATCAGGGAAGACGTGGTGGTAGTGGAGGCGGAGGTGGTGCATGCGGAGATGAGAGGGGCGGAGCGAAAAAGATAAGGGTACAGAGGAGCCAGACGTGGAAGACACCGAGGTAGAGGATCAACAGCAAACGAATCAGCGGTCGCCGCCGAAGCATCGCCACCAAACGAATCATCCAATCGTCCACGGCGCTCACGCCTCCTCGTAGCCAGGCTGGAAGCGAGGTATCCTGTTCGAAGAAGGAAGTGAGGAGAGATAAGGGGGGCTGATCTATGCAGTGGTGCTACCTCATATACAAGCGGTTAAGTTCCGGAGTCCACAGCGCACCAGGAGAAATTGACAATAAAGGTGCCAATAAATGCACAGTTATGGAATAAAATACCCCAAACTTGACCCAAGCTACGCTTCTTTCTGCCTCAAGTACTTCCTGTACAGTATAGTACACTAGATCATTGCCTGCTAAATTCTTTTAAAACCACAGTAAAGTAAAATCAAGTAAAAATGGGACTGTAAAGCTATTGATTGACACTTCTTTGTCATTGTTAGGATGGTAAATTAGGTAAACTTCGTGTGCCATAAAAGTCACATAAATAGGGCACAACTCAAGTAAATAAAAAAAAAGGAAATGTACTATTGTACGCACATTCCAATGAGCCCCGAAAACGCGAATGCACAAGGCATTACTACAGCGGGCCACATACTACTTAAAACATCAAAGTATATATGAATTAACTTTACAAGTGGGAAAAGATTAAATCCAGATGACAGAGCTGAAACTACCATGAGAGAGGTCCTCTGTACCACTACATTACGTGGAGGGATTGATAAAGGGAGAGAGAGCTTTTGCGCCCCATTTAACCAAACACACTTAGATGAATTGGGTTGGCTATGCAACTTAACTTGACTAATAGGCGGTTCCACACCATTTCAAGCTCATTCAGTTGGAGGATGGAGGGTCCACATTACTTTGTTTAGGGGACAACTATAAGCTGATTACACGGGTCAAAGGTGTGAGACTCCTGGGCGGTTTAATTTGAGTGGTGGATATTAATTTGACCTCAGTTGTCATACATGCACGTTTCAGAGGTAGAAAAAAGAATCTCTTGCTGCTTAAATCGGTCAGATGTCGTCTCACTTATCGTTGTAAGAGGAATTCAAAATACGTGTAAAGTTACGCAGGTACTCTGGAGGAGAAAGCAGTTTGCCCATACTACTTAAGTAGGTCAGCAGAAGTGGCTGCAATTAAGAATCCAAGTGACGGCTTAAAAAACGGTTGTAAAAAAAAAGTTTCAAGCTAAAAAATACCTTCTATAAGCAGCTAGATAACATAGCTGGCAGATCAGAATGCCTTAAAACTCACGATGAGGTGGAGGCGAGCAAAGCCATGCGGTGGCTTTGAGGGAGAGTTCTGGGGAAGTTGGGCATACCCACCGGGAAATGCCGGGGATCGCGTACTTCCAGTTTCCAAGAGGTGGGCATCACACTCGGCTTCCAACCGTTCCAGTCGAATCTGCACAAGATTTGTAACAGCTGATATCGGCTCCAAAAGTGAGAGCAATAAACTCGAGTGCTAACAATTTCTCATTGAGGAGCAGGTGCTACTATCAAAGGGATTTAAGTAGAACAAAGAAGTAATTTCACAGCTTCGTGGCTTTGAGATCAGAACAATCGACGGACACTTCTGACTCAAGACGCAGTGATAAATGGTGGCCTAGAGAAAGGCCAAAATGGTGAATAGGAACTGGGATATTAAAGAATACACAAACTGATGTAAACAAGAAACCTCGGTACCGCAAACGGTAGAGGTAAAAAATTAATAGAAAGTGGAATTAAAAACCAACCTTGAGAGCGTGATTTTGAACCAGCGTAGCCTCCAGTGAGTCCTGTTTGGTGAGTAAACTGTCATTGAGTTGTCGGATCCGTGCCTCCAGCTCAAAAACGCGCACCTCTACGTCAGCACGCGGTTGAGGCTGCTCTGATGGTGATTGTGCGGAAATGGAAGAGCGCAGCATGTTGGGAGAGGCCTCAGACGAGAGACACTGACGGAGACGCGCGACCTCCGCCTCGGCAGACTGCAATTGGGAGGCTGTTGTCGCCTCTTTGCGCTTCGCAGCCTCCTCGGCTGCGGTCAGGCGACGCTGCAGCTCGATTATCTGTGCGTCGGAGTCCGTCACTAGCTAAATGGACGAAGTGTTACAGTATGCCCGCAGTTCCAAAAGCAGCTGAAGCGTTGTTGATGCCACATACTTGCTTTTCCAGTTGAAGCTGCTGGTTCAACAGATTGATAGTGCGCCGCAGTGAGGCGTGTTCCTCAGAGGCCCGTTCCTCCATTTCCGAGGCTGCCATGAGTCGCTGTTCAGCCTCTTGCCGCAAGGAGATCGTCTCCTCGCGCAGCTGCTCATACTCTCTCCGCAGATTTTCATCGACATACTGTGAGGACGTCCCGTCAGCATCACTGCCACTCGCATTCAGTTGGTCCTGGAGGTCGGAGATGACCTTGAGTAGAAATGAGCAAAACCCAGTGTGATTAGTGCATTAAGGTCGATGACCTTGGGAAGAAAGTACAAAACAGTGCTTTTATTTTACTTCTTTACGCTACTAGGCGAACGATTTCAGTTGGTACTCAGAGGTTGCGTATGTCCAACGCACTTTATCCCTAACATGGAGGGCCTACGTCCAGATGAATTCAATGGTTATTATGTGTCAAGAGTCACGTAACTATAGGCTTTTGTCAAAAAACAGCCTCTAGCTCTGCATCAAGATAAGTCCGTCAAGCGCTGAGAAACTGCATGTTGAGATGGGGAAGAAAGGAAGGAAGGGTAGAGACTCACCTTCTCCTTGTCTGAGAGAATGGCAGTTGCCTTCTCCTTGTACGTGGCCAGCGAACGCGTCAGACGTGAGACATCTTGTTGAAGCTGTTCCACACGACCCGACGAGAGATCAGCCAATTTAAGCGCTTCGCTGGCTTTGTTTTCGCTTTCTTCCTAAAGGAAGGCAACCATACTCCTCTACAGGGACAAGAATGCTACGACCGAACCTGTTGGGTTCTTTTTTAGGTATACTGATACCGATATTCGATAGACCAATCTACCTACGCCTTGAAAAGCTGGATCGCGATGCTTCACCTGCGTTTTTGAGGCGGTGGGTTAATAAAAAAGCCATCGAATTGGGACTTTTAACTTAACGTGACGGTACTACGCCCAACAGTAAGTGAAAAGTGGACAAGTCGCGGTCAGGTGGGTTCAGACGGTGCTTATCAAGTTGGCAGGTAACACTGGTATTGGCTGCATTTGCATGGAACAGTGTGTGATGAGTAAAATGTCTTGAGGACGAAGGTCGATAACCTGGTTCACCCATAGCCAGAAATCCACGCGTATTCGCAGAAGCCAACAAAGGTGGTGCAATGCTCAGCTACAGAGAACTAAGACATTCGATTCAACAGAGAGAACGTTGCGCAAGCTTCAAAGGCAGTCAACCGCACCTACGTCGGCGCGTCTGCTTTGATTCTGGGTCGCAGTGATTCCGCTGTCAGTCCACAGTACAGCAATTATTCGTGGGGATGGACATTCAGTGTGTGCGTGTGTGACCCCTGGCACTAGACCGGATTGACGCACAGTCTGTTACGGGCCGCAATACTGAACAAGCAGTGGAAGCTTTGGCAGTTAGATGATTTTCCCAGCACTGCTTTTCGTATCTTAAGGTCTGAGTTGCAGTGGCCGCCCCTTTTTTGAAGTTGAAGATACCACAGGAGTCAGAATAACCAGGCGTTAAAAGCATAGCAACTCGGCATAAAATGAAGTCTTGTGCCCAATTTCTGCGTCTATGAACTGTAAGTTTAGGATGCTACTGAAAACCAAGGAGTGAGTTAGCCAGTCTCTCTATCCTCCACACGGCCAGAAGCTGCGTTATTGAGGTGGTGGTTGAGGACACGAATGAAATCCACAAGGTTACTCAACTACTTTATCTATGTGAAAGGAACAGACAATCTAAACCATGTATTCCCGGATGCTTTGTATTTCACTAGATGCCAATGAAAATTTAAGCGATTTTCATAAAAAAATTCCTTGAAACGAAAAGACGAGCGTATCTTGCAGAGCAATCCTGTTTACTTTCTTTTCCTGATTCAAGACAAGATGATTGACCAATTTAACTCAACATAAAAAACATACTTTTAATAGGTGTTAAGGTTTAAATGAAACAAAAATCCATCTTCGTAGTTAGCCGCATTGAAAGGTCAAATTGAAGCTCACCAGGGCTTTTCGTGTCACTGTCAGAGTTTTTGTGAGCTTCTCCACTTTGGCCTCAAGGTCCTTAATTTTTCCCATGTCATTGGATGATGTTGAATTCGACCGCTGAAGGGCCATCTTCATCTCGTCCAGGCGCGTCTTCCATGAGTGCACTTGTCTTTGAAGACTGTCTATCTGGAAGAAAATGCAGCGGTTTTCTAACAATCAAAAAATAAGCAGGAGTAAAGTGTTTTGGGGAAGTTCTGGTCCAAACTTGATGGTTTCACACTGCGCACTAGTACTTGAGGAATGGGCCCCACTAAACATTACGAACCAGCATACAGGTGGCACGCAGGTTCGTCCAGGCACTGCTAATCAGGTTGACAGCCGTCGGTGACGGTGACTGCATTTGCATAGAACAGGGTGTGGTGATGACCGCGGTGTCATGCGAACAAAAGCGTACGACTTAATTCATGTCCCGAGCCACCCACAAGCAGATATCCATGAAAGGCTCCAAACACAGTACGGTGCGGCGATGGGGCGCCCGGCCACACAGCGTTAAGGTGCTCGTTTCGAGTTTCAAAGACAGTCGACCGCGCCTGCATCAATGCGTTAGTTTTGATTCCGGAATGGAATAACTCTATTGTCAGTCCACAGCACAGCAGTCATTCGTGTGGACGGACATTCAATGCGTGCGTGTGTGTGTCACCCGATTCTAGACGTCAGGCTGCCGCAGAGCCTGTTGTGACATTGCGTTGCACAGGATGCATTTCTGTGCTAATGTTGTCCACAGACATATAGGAAGATTGGCAATTTCCAATTTAGGCCAACAAAGACGAGTTGAATGCTCTTGACCGAGGAGGTCAGGGCTTCTTGGACTGCGTTGCTTCACGTGGCGAAACGCAGATGTCTCGAGACGGACATAACAGCAGTGGAAGAATGCAGATATACCACACTCGAAGTAATAGAGTGGGCCATCATAAGATGGTTGAGACATCCCAAAGCTGAAGTTGCTTTATAGGCATCGGTTAAACTTTAGCAAGTAAGCACACAAATATTCGAACCCTTCTAAAATGCGATTTCCTCCGCCTTCGTGTAAACACAACTATACAATTTCATGGAATGCCTATCGGATCTCTTCGCCGAAAGAGAACTCAACAACCGAAGAAGAGATTAAAAACTCGTCAATTCAGGTCAAACGCAATTTCATTTCCTTAAAGCTAATCTTGTCCTACCTTTCTGAAATGCATCACTAGGCCTCATTGTTTCGTAGTGTTGTAAAGCACTCTTCATTATGAAAGGAAATGATCCAATTCACGCTCCCAATGATATATCTTACGCCAAAATAGGTGAATTTTTTAGATGGAGGAGGAATTCACAAATCCAACTAACGTGGCTTCACTGGTGTTCAACCCAAATCGAACCAATCACAAGTTACTTTCCCGACACATCTGAAATTCGTGCGAAATTTAACGTTTTCGAAACGCCTAGAATGTGGATATCTGAAAGGAAGCCACTTTGAAAGTCGCCGAAATAATCCGACTTGACTCATTACGGGGGGCTTTTTGGTAACAATGGAAATTCCAAGTGAAAACTCCCATGAAATTTCCAGCATGTTTTGAAAGCGTTTCATTTCGCCCCGTTGAGGGAGAGTCTGCTGAAATGACTAATAAAATTCCGTGACTTGTCAATCCAATTTAAATAAAACAAAGTAGTATGCAGTCCACCCATGGTAAATCCCCTCTTAGATTTGATTGGTTAACCATAATCCAACCAATCAAAAACAGCGGTGTCATTTCATCGAACAGGTTCACAATCTGCAATATTTATAAGAAAAAAAGGAAAGTCTAAGAGGCACCAAAATACCTTCGGCAATTTACCCTTTGATATTACTATTAATTTGTAGCGGTAGTAAAAAAGGTAGAACAGACCTCCTCGTTTCGCAGTTGTGCCTCGCTTTCAGCACGTTTATTGCGTTTCACCAGTTCCGCGATCTCCTGGTTCAATGAGGCCACCTCCTGATGCAACAGGCGGTTTTCTGTTGCTGCGTCTGTGGAGGTATTCGACACCGATACCTGCGATTGCGGTTGCAGCGGCTGCTGTGACGATGGCGCGGGAAGTGAGGCGTTTAGCGACGAGATGGCTTGTTCCATGGGAGCGGGATTGTTGAGAAACTCAAATAACTGGACATCTGTAGTGTCAGTAACGCACTGCTTGGATGAAGCGCCTTCGCTACAGAAAGTAGGGAAGAAGAGTCACGAAATATTAGGCGTGGAGATGACAACTCCGGCATCCGCCTCAGGCTCTCACAACTTGGCTGCCGCGCTAACAACAGAGAATTTTGCTGGTCAATTAAGAGACTGGGCCTCAAACTCGTCTCTCCTCTGCTGTCAGGATCAAACAGCTGAGACGCTGCTTCGGTAGCAGCGGACACTACACCGAAAGGACATGGATGAATGGATCGGTGGGACAGATATTGAAACTCGACCTATTTTACAATCTGAACAACTGAGTCCTGAGCAGCGACTGCTAGTAGAGCAAGCAAGAACGGGAATAATAAGGAGTAACTAAGGTAAAATGGTAGTAGATCATTCGGCTCTTTATCGTGAATGGCTGCACGGAGGCTAAAAAGTACACAAATCGGAGGATTACGAGAAGTTGGGCCCGATGGAAATCAAGAACACCAAGCAACGACAGGATTGGATGATACACGTTTGACAAGCTGTCACTACACATCAAATCGGGTGTCATTTAGACATAACACATCTGTTGTTAAATAATCAGCAGAAATAAGATTAAAACGAAAGACATACGGTGCTATCGGTGAGGCGATACCGGCTTTTGTAATTTCAACGATTCTTGGAGATGTTAGTTTCCTTGGAGGGATGACCGGGGGATGCACAACCACCGAATCGGCAGTCTGGAGAAAGTTGGCCACATGACTATCCAGGGAGTTTAAAAGGTTACCGCCTTTCTCAGCCCAGTCTGTCATCCACGAAGTCATTGAGCCTGCAGACGTGGCAAGGGTGAAGCACCTCCCCCATCTCACAAACGGGCGCAAAGAACGGCGTGGTGCAGAAAGACATTTATTGTTATCGAAGAACAAGTATAAGGTTATCACAAAGTTAATCAAGAACCATGCAAGTGAGAAAGGACGGATTGCTTGTTACAAAACAAAAACGAGACAATCTGTGCGCCTGTTTGTGCTGGCAACGCAATTCATTTCATAGCCTGATTGGCCATCTGTTTCGCAACCATGCCGAGGCCGGGTTGGGGAATGACCGGACTTGAGGAGGTCTTGGTGGGTTTTCTAAGCAAACAATAAAAACACATTATCTGAAAACCAAATGTTTTCTCCCCCCTAAAATTGTACTTCACAATAGAAAAAGTCAAAAAATTACTCAAAGGAAGTTGCTTACCCAACGATCCTAGTGGCTTGGCTCTGTGCTGCGTTTAATCGCAACTGGTTGTCGTCGGTCTGGAGAGGGAAAACAGCATCCATGGAAATAAAATGTCATGCCAAGGTGCACACTTTAGTGGATTATCTACTGCAATCCTTTTAAGTATGAGGGCTTAGGCTGCTAACCTTGGAAGCAATTTCATCGAGTTTTTGGTTATGGACTGCGATCTCCTGATTCATATCCAGAGCCATGGTGCGCAGTTCACCGACGATGCCGGAGACGTGATGCAAATTCTGCTCCATCTCTGTCTCCCGATCGTCATCTAGGATGCTGAATTGAAGAGAGAAGGTCCAGTTAGATGCCATAACCTCTTTAACATTCAAATACTACGGTAGGAAGAGGGGTAGAGAGAATACCTGAGAACTAGCTGGGCCTCAGAAAATCATACAACACCTCCTTCGAATTGAGGACCACGCACCACGGTTCTCAACCTTCAAAGGAAAACCGCCTAATTCCTTTCCGATTGTTCCAATATGGAATTTTTTCTCCATGAACTTCTTTTTGCCGAGATGTATCACCTAAAACGCGCCAGTCTACGGACAAGTTACTCTCTACTGTCCTCTCCACTACTTACCTCCTAATGTAAAGCCGCAACGGCTGAACGAATCACACTGAATTTGCTTGAAAAATTTGATGATGATGGAGAATTATTCAAGGTTGGATACAATGAGTAGATTAAGTTGTGACCTCAGAGCAAACTGTAGGCCAAGAGGGAAAGAAATTCGCCCTCCACATATCCCACAGTCACTGACACTTCCCCAAGCGATTATTACCAGCTTTGCGTCGTTGGATGACGATCACATGATTGCATGCGAAATGGAGCACACGGTTGGGAAACAAAAGCGGAAT